TTGTACATAAAGTCTAAACTTAAAAATAGCAATCCATAAAAATTGTGTTTGTTGACATCAATTTTTGCCTCAAGGATGCAAACCAATGAAACTGACTACATTAAAGCGAAAACTAGCTCAAGAACAGAACTTTTTCCCATTTTCCATTAATATTTTTGACATTTCTGATTGTTTTTGTGATTGTGAGGTGATTTTTTTACCTGCTTGTATTTGCATTTTTTCGTTAGTAACAGGTGAATCAGTGCATTTATCTCTACCAACTAAAATATAACGATCTATAGTCGGCAAATGTCCTAAATTTGCGTGAAAAAACTAGATATATATCGTTGCATAATGTTTAAAATATTAACTAGGACTACTACATTGAATATGATAAAATGTGAGCACAATAAACAATATTTTGAAGAAATTTGATAAAAATTTTAGGGCTAAATAAAACAAAATCAACACGAAAAATATAAAAAATTTCCAACAGAACGAAGTTGCTATCTCGATTCTTTCCTGAAATATAAACATTTTGGAGATTTTAGATTAAACTTTTTTTTCCAAACATAAAATCATAATTTCTCAACTCCAGTCTGACCTTTATTTCGCAAAATTCATTCAATTTCTCACGAGATAAGATTTTTGTTGGAAAATTCGTCTTTCCGAATATTTTACCTAGCTAGGTAGCTGCTCAAAGAATAAAAATGGCAAATTTTTAAAACTACTTAATTGTACCTCCTGCAATGAATTTTCCGTCAACATTTTCATGGATTTCACCGAAGATGCCTTATTTTATAAGTATTCCAACGAGACATTCTATTTTACATTTTGATAGATACATAGATTAAAAAAAATTATTAGTTATAAAAAAATTAGATAAATTCATTTCATAAAGTGTACAAAATTAAAGAAAAATTACAACGAAAATAAAATAAAATTAATTATACAATTTGAAAATTAATTGATTATTGTTTTAAAATGTTTTTATCTTGTTGGAAAATAAATGTAGTTTATGAAATAAGGTTCAGATTTGTATTTCAATGAGGCTATTTGGCTAGTCAAGTTGAGAAATTAAGATTTTATGTGAATTTTTAAAATCACAAAAATGTTAATATCTCAGAAAAAAAAATAGCTTGCCAAAAATCAGCTTTGCAATCTGGTTATGAAAAGCAAAGGGAAAACAAAGGAAAATATTGATAGTTTACTCCTTCATAATCATTTTTATTAATTTTAATTTATTATACTTTTTAATCTAATGTCTGGGTTGTGATGAAAAAGCTTTTAGCCGAAGGTCGTGGGTTCGAATCCCGCTTGTGACACTTACTAGCTTAGAATTAATTAAAATAATTAATACGGTAATTATGGCTGATAAATAGATCTATTTTTATTAATTATGTACCTTCCTTCGTGGATATAAATTTGTTGCAATTTTTTTTGTTTGTAATGTTTTATGTAAGGGTTAAATCCATTATATTTCGTGATCCGATTGACCCCAAATAACTTCTTTCAATTAATTAATCTTTATGTAAGGTATTGGTTGAAATGAAAAAGTGTCACGAGCGGGATTTGAACCCACGACCTTCAGCTCAATACGCCGCTCGTCACGATAGCTCAAGTGGTTAGAGCAGAGGCGTATTGAGCCGAAGGTCGTGGGTTCGAATCCCGCTCCCGACCCAACATTTTCATTTCAACCAATACCTTACATAGATTAATTAATTGTATGAGTTAAGTTTAATTTTTTTCTTCTGCATTAATCTTTTACAGCCCTATGGATGAATAAGGTCTTTTTACTATTTGTAAAGGATGATTCATTTTTATTATTTGTACGAAATTTATACCAGCATCTAGAGACGCAACAAACAAATGATATATATTACTTACATCACGTAGGTTTCAGAAAAACATTTTCTTTATCGTGCCAACGTTTCGATCTTTATTGAGCCCTGAAGATGATCTCAATAAAGATCGAAACGTTGGCACGTTAAAGAAATGTTTTTCTGAAACCTACATCACACCAGACCGCATCTCACGATTTCTGAATAATTATCGATTAACGGTCACTAATCACCACACAGATATATTACGTTTATTAACATAATTATCAGTTAGTAAAAAAAAATCATATTCGAATTTCTTGATAATACGAACTGCTCAGCAGGTCACTTCGGTAAATCGGAAAAATTCTGTGCATTTTGGTACACTCGAAAATATGAAATATTTTGCCTAACAGGGGGAGAAAAAGCACGCTATTAATCGAGCCACATCTTAATAATTTGCAATTTTTCTTTTTTACATTCCTTTAAATTTCCACCTATTGTTTACTTCCTTACAGCCTAAAGTTTCTTCGAATTTTACCCTAGTTTGTTATGTTCTGCGGTCAGTGTTCTCAGCACTGGTCACTTGGGAAAATCATTTAAACAAAGGATGCCAGGCCACATTAAAATAAAAACCACTTCACGATTTTTTTAAAATAATGCGTAACAATGTTCAATTTTAGAGTTGATGTATTTCTGCTTGTTCATTATTTTTAATATGTTTTATATATGTACAATTTAAATAATAACTTAGATATCAACTATTAACTATTTTCGTTTTTTCCTTTGATAATTCAAATTATTTTTGTGGTCCGTTGGTTTTCGAATTATCAATAGTCGACTGTATGTATAATAGGAGGGTTCTTACTCGCAGGTTTATTGAGAACAATCCTTTACAAAAAGCGACTCGACATACTCATACCACCAATATATTATTTCTATGTAAGGCCTTTTTGTTTCTAACGAAGTTAAGATAAATCAACTGTTCAGATACCACAAATTTGTTGAGGACCAGTGATGCGATCAGAAAGAAGTGGGTATTGGAACTTCTCCCCAAGCTCTCGACTGTCAGGATTACTTATCTCCAATTTATTTAAATTTGTTTACAATAAAACATTTTTAATCCTCTAACAAAACTTTAAAAACAATAGTTAACAACAATGAAAACAGTTTTGGATGTTCTTCAGAGGAAATATGGAGTAAAGAAGTTGAGTTCTCCATCTTCCTGATAGAAGTGATAAATGTGAATGTATTTATTTGTGTGAATGCGTATTAAATGTGTATTGTTATATTTCGCATGCGCTCGGGGCTGAAATGACCAAGCTGTCGGATGCCTCCCCCCCCAAAAAAAAACTTGAGTAAAACTTCTTAATAAAGATGCCCTGATGATGGGGAAATAAACCACCGAAAGCTCGACAGAGACCAAAAGTTTTGCTCCATATGACCTCTGAAGAAGATCCCATCACCCAAACTTAATGATTATACTTTAATAAAGTTATTTATAAAACTAAAAACTTGACTAAATTTTAATTTTATAAGTAACTTTATTAAAGGTTTTAACTATTGTTTTTAAAGTTTTGTTAGAGGTTTAAAAATGCTTTATTGTAATCAAATTAATTTACGACAATGTAACGTAGCTCTGAAGACTGTAATAAAGGTGGAAAGCTTGGCTAAAATTTACAATACTACTTTGCGACCGCATCCTTGATTCTCAAAATTTTTTTGTGTGTAACTTATGTAATATTTGTATGCAATGCATGTATTGTATGCAATGTATATATGTGTGAATGTATTTATTTGTGTGAATGCGTATTGAATGAGTGATGTTATATTTCGCAAGCACTCGGGGCGAAAAAAACAACAAAAAACATTCTATTTAATAAACGATACTGATGATGGTGGACTAAACCACCGAAAGCTCGACAAAGAGCAAAAGTTTTGCTCTATATGACCTTTGAAGAAGACCCCTTCACCCAAATTAATACTTTAATAAAGTTGTTTATAAAATTAAAATTAGTGACTAATGTTAATTTTACAAATAAATTTATTAAAGGTATTAACAATTGTTTTAAAACAATTATATTTAGTGGTCTGTGGACAAAATTACTTCTTTCAAGTAATTAATCTTTTTATGTAAGGTTTTGGTTGAAATGAAAAGCCGAAGGTAGTGGGTTCGAATCCAGCTCGTGACACTAACTTTTTCATTTCAACCAAAGCCTTATATCAAAAGATTAATTAATTGTTTTTAAAGTTTTGTTAGAGGTTTAAAATTTTTTTTATTGAAATCAAATTTATTGATGACAATGAAATTAACGTAGCCCTGAAGTCTAACAAAGGTCGAAAGCTGGACGAGAAATTAACAATACTCACTTCTTTGCGACCGTATCCTTGATTCTCAACATTTTTTTTGTAACTTATGTAAAACTTGTATGTATTTTACATTTTGTATAAATAATAATTGAATAAATCTATCTTTATTGTTCTGTATTATTATTAAAAATAGATGTTCGAAAAGTTGAGAGAAGGAAATGCGGCCACGGTGCGTCGCGGAGGGTGATCACCGGAGGTGAAAGAGAGAGAGAAAGAGAGAGAATGAATGAGAGGGAGTGGGTGAGAAACTACGCTATTCCGCGCGTACGTGCGGTTGCGTGGCGCGTGTGCCGGTGGGTGATCGCGTCGCGTTCAGGGTTGGTGGATGAGGAAAATAGTTTTGAAACGTAGATTCGCCGGACGGCCGCCAGGGGTGGTCGCGTCGCCGCCGAGGGCAGATCCCTGCTGACATGGCGTCTTCGATGTAGTCTTTTATTTCCATCCCGTACGGGTGTTCCTTCATCCCTCCGACCAGGAAAACAACAACAATGCTCAGGTAATTCTCACGGCCGGCGCCGCCCCCGGACGGCCGGCGACCGCCTCCGCCCTCCTTCGGCCGCCCCCGGTCCCTAGGGGGTTCCTTTTACGAAAAAACACCGCGGCTCCGTCGTAAAATACGCAATAGGGTCGTCGACATCTCCCCCTGATAGGATCGATATATTTCTTTTTCCCGTGTGGCCGCAACGTCCCGCCTCGACTCCGACTCCTTTTCGGCCTCTTTTTTTTCCCCCAAAACGCATCCCCGGCAACCTTTCTACTTTTTTCAATCAATCCGCTCGGAAATCGATCCCGTGAAAAAAGGGTTGAGTAAAAATGTAAAAGGGGTGGGGGGAAATTGTGCAACATGGCGGAAGGGCTGGGCGTTTTACGCTCCCGACACCCCGTCCCTCGTTCTTTTCTCGCCTCGACTGTGGAAAAGTGAAAAATATCGAAGTCCGCGCCCGACCAGGAGACGCCGCCGGTGAGTGTAAACAAAACAAAGGTTATGTTTATTATTTTCGCACCTGGGCCGCTGTCACCGGAGCCGAGTCGGCCCAGCCTCGCGACTCCTTATCACTGAAAACACCTGTGTGATTCCGACTTGAGGCCCGTTTCTCTTCGGCCGCTTCGCTCGCCTCCGATCTCGGCGACCGACGCCCCGACCACCCGACGCGACGCGACGCACCGCCTAATTCCGCCAGCCGCCTCCCGACCCGACCAACCCTCTTCACGTATCTCTCTTTTCTAAATTACTAATTTATTCATAGTCCTTGAATATTGCCACATCACACGTAAAAAAATAAAATAAATAAACCCCCTAATCATTTCCTGCTTTGTCTGGTGATTTACTCTGGGGAGGATTACCCCTATTTGACCTAGTCCTTTTGATCATATGAGCTATAAACCTCACCAGTCTTTCATTGAGGTTTCTTTTCACTACTGGTAACCCTTTATAATATTTTCAAAAAAACTTAAAATAATAGCTCAAATACATGTAAAATTGTTATTTGTTGTATGAGAATAATACAAAATCTACAAGCTTTGATGTACTATATTAATCATGTGAAGGTGCTTCTTTATCATCCCTCATGATTCATACCAGTCCGCTCATGAATGATAAAATGATCCTTATCTTCTGCCATGATGTATTATTGAAAGATTTTCCCAATCTGCAAGCTTTGTTGGCCCGATTGACCAGTGCGATTCTGACTGAGTTAAAACTGACATCATTTCCCAACGACATTTAATTTTAAAATCACATTTAAACAATATTAATCGTACGAAGATCGTTTCTAAATCATCCCCCATGATTTATACCGGTTCACTCATGAATGATACAATCATCCTTATCTTCTGCCATGATGTATTATTGAAATACCCCAGAATAACCTTTTTTTCTTGCCAGTCTTTAAAAACTAACAAAAAATAAATAAATAAAATATGTCCCTTTATGATTGCAAAGCAAGACAGTTTATATTTTCAAACCCGCTGGGCAAAATATTCATTTGAAATCTTTCGCATCGAAAATAGCACGCATAAAAGAATTAAGTAACGACACTTAGGGGTTTATAATGAGCTCAATTAATTTCAATTCTCCCGAGCACGTGTGAGATGTGCATAGTCCTGCTCTAAGAACGATTGTTCGTCGGTCAGAAAGTTTACGGAATATCACTGATATTCATTGCAAATAGATATCTGAAGTTTGATCGTTGAAGACCATCCTGGTTCAAGTTTTGTACTGTTGTATACACGATTCAGCAAACCCTTTATATTATACTTTCTAATAACTAATTATAAATTAGAATTTTTAATCGTACAAACATCAATACTAATAACCTCTGTTGTGTAAAGCATCTTCAGCTTATATTTACAAACATAAACATAAATCATTTATTTACATTACAGTATTGTACTTCAAACTCCCACTTACAATGAAACTAATTGAAATACTTGTTTTGAAGCTGCCATCTTCAGTAATTCAGCTTTGGTTTTGTCCTTAATATGTGGAAGTGCATGAATGACAATTTAAATTGTATCACATTACTTTTATACAATTCTGGTATTTTAGACTTTAATTTAGCGTAAACATTTTTGTTTAAGCTTATACTTCAAAGCTTTATTTATGCATAATTCTTGTAATCTACCTCCAACAAGTTAATTTATTGGAAATGTTATCAACATATATAAATTTTTGAAATATTTTATTAACAGCTGTGTTGTAAGGTATTATACGCACATCATTATTATGGGCATTATGTGATGTGCAAACTCTAGGATAACAGTTCTTTAGCAATACGTCTTTGGTTTTGAGTTGTGATTCTTTAATATATATTTTGATTATTTAATGAATATTATAGCAAAGTTTGAACATACCATCTATTAAATTATGGGCTATATTAATTATGGTCCTCATTGAATGCTGAGAATTAAAGCTTGAAATTCAGTCTGAGGATGAGCTTTTTTTACCACTGAGTCTTAATATCAGAACCACAACAAATTTAACAATACATATATGATAACATAATATTTTAAAGGGGGGCATCGGTGGCCACAACGGTTTAGGTGTTGACACGGTGCTCATCACTGTAAGATAAAGGTCCTGGGTTTTAATCCAGCGGCCCTGCATTTGAATCCAACATAATTACCTCAACATAATAACCGCCACCAAGACCGACCAACCATGCCCCCTAACGCAACGCCCCCAGCAACAAGCGACGGACGCAATACTATATAAACCCCACTCAGACTAAATGACAGACAGTTTTTCATTGAAGATGACATAATGCCGAAACGCGTTTAAATAACTCAAACAAAAAACCCGCAAGTGAAGACAGACCCAGTAGTGCCCGTGTGCCGGTTCAACATGAGTTCACCAACTCGCAGACCAAACCCCATCATCTACCCAACATAATTACAAATGGTTTTTTTTTTTTAACAACACCGGCACCCTGAGGTTTACCTTTGCTGTTGCGGACCCTCGTAAAACAAAAAAAAAAATATNATTTAATTATTTACTCATCTACTATTGTTCTTATAAAAAATCAAATATCTGATTTGATATTCATCTCTTTGCTACTTCAAAAAATCATTAATCATTGCATGTCTATCTGAGCCTTGGGTCCACTTGGGTACACTTATAAAACAGTATATTTATAACTGTATTTATCAATTATGCTCAATTTTTATTATATTATGATAATATTCTTTAAACTTGTGTCAAGAGCGGAACCTGTATATGACCTTCTGAGAACCTCAGCCAGAAATGAGGAATCGTCCTTACCCAATTAAGAATAGGTCATACGTGGTTTGCAAAAAGGCACCTACTCCTGGGCCAAAGCCTTCTTATGCAGAGAAATGTTGCTTGATATATCCCTCATAATAGAAGCTTGTCATGCCTGGGCTTTTTACAGAGAGTGTGTAGGCATGCCACCGGATTGATGAATGATTCTTAGGCACAGTAGTGATATTCTGAGTCCCCTGTTTGCTTTTTAGAGGATGTCGGTTTTTATTTATTTTTTATTTTATTTTAAATTGTATTCTTTGTTTTGGGCCAATGTTGGAATAGATTAGATTATAAATGTTATGTATTGATGGATGGAGGAATTTCGAGTACTACATCAAATAACCAGGTCTAGTGCATTAAATAGGGGTGGATGTATTTATTTTTGCGATTGTATTATAGGTGTTAGTTTTAGTTTAGATTAAGTTTTGCATCTTGTTGAGGGGCTGAAAGGACCTGGTTTAATACAGTTAGTTGGGAGGCAAGCATCATCTCCTATTCTCTTATGCTTTCAACACATACTCGTACTTACCATTGAATTACAATCTTACTGTATTAAGACAGATTTGATGGCATTGCCACTTATCACCCCACACACTGATGAACCTTTGGTTGTTTCCAATCATTTTGGTCTGTCAGATAAATTTTTGGCTTCTACCAGACCAAAATTATTGGAAATGACCAACTATATACTTAAATATATATATTCTCACTTAATGATAAAGTAAGATATAATTCACCAGATTGCTTAAATTTGATTGTCATTTGTCGTCCCTGTCTGCATTGTTTTTGTTGTATTTTGTGATTAGTTGAGTTCCAGCATTTCTCTGTCTTCAGTTGTTTATCTTTTTTAAATTAATCATGATTCTGCTTTGTCTCATGAATGATCATCCTCCTGGAAAGGGATATTGTTAGTGTGACATAACATAAATATGATTTTAATTAATTATTAGCTCACTCTTGTTTACTTATTATTCCAGAATTCCCCACTGATTCATCAAGTTCCATGAATGAAATTAATTTGGAAGTTCCAAAAATTGAATACATCCAGCGTAGTTAAAATATATAACTAAATAATATTTACCCAACTGTTGAAGCTTACATTTATTAGGATTTAAAATTAAAGCAATTAAAGATTAAATTTAAAGCATGGTTATTTAATACTTTTAATTTTAGTTAATCTAGCTGAATGATTTGAAATCAAGTTTTTATGTAACAAATATTAATTTAACTCATGTAATTCAGTTTAACTCATAACTTACCCTTACTCACTTATTCAATTTTCAATATTCAGTTTCCAGACGAACCTTTTCTTTTATTACTATACCATGTTTTTAGTCATTCATTCTCAAATATTTTACATTATGTTGGCCAACTGAATTTTTCTAACAAGCTTAATAATTCTGTTGTGTCTGGGTAAAGATCCTATAATTTTAGTCTGTCTATCCTCGCTGGATACATTTTCGCAATCTTCAGTGTGTATGTACATATGCATTATTTCAATTTTAGGTAAAAATCGTTTGAAAATTCATTGTCTAACCCTAAATCACTTGATAGCTCAAATTGCCCAAATTAAGTTTTTAACAGTGGCCATAGAATTTTTAACCCTTGGGTCCATGTTAAAAAAAAGCTACAAATCTGAAGCGGGCAATCATATATCACAATTATTTATATTTTTAATTAAAAACTGTGGTGTAAATTAAATTAAGTAAGCGTTAAAGATTGAATATTTTCTTGCAATTTTTAAACGTATTTTCCATATTTGAACAACATTACAAAATTTTTATCTGTTGTCCTTATATTGAATTGTCTGCAAGTGATCAACTTCGTAATAAAAAATAAAATGTTTTCTTAGATAAGATTCATACAGTTTAGCAATCTAAGTTTTACCATTTACCTTTGCATTCTGAAGTGTTATCATTGCCACTTGTGTTGCTAGAGTTTGATTTGTATTTGATAAAATGAGATATGAGATATCGGTATGACTAAAGTTACCCTTAGCTTTGTAAAAAATATTTTTAAAAAAAATCTAGTTTGTAAGTTTTAATTTCAGGACCACATCTTTAAATTAGGCACTTTCTATGATAGTTTGTTTTGATTTTTGTTCAGCTCTAATTTTGCCAATTGTTTTGTCAATTCACTTCTATTTGGTTCCTCTTTTTTGTTTTAAATTTCTTCATGATTAAAAAATAAAAAAATAAGTTTTGCTGGATTGATATCCAGAGATGATCAAACGTTTTTATCTAAACTTAACTGCTTGTCCATATGAAAAATATTATCATGAAAATTTAAAATTTTGTTTTTGAACTGACAAGAGTGAGGGCATGAGTTATGTGTGTAACAGTGTTATTTTTTCATATATGGTGCAGATTATAATTTGTCAAAGTTACGTTGTTTATAATTTATTAAGATACATTTTGTGAAGGCTTTGTTATCAAAATAAAAATTATAGAAATTACGAACGTGCTTATAGAAAGGTTTACAATTTTCATTATCCAAATTATTACATCCAAGTAATCACCTTCCTTTCTTAAATATCAAGACCTTATTCATTAACGCGATTGAACGATTTAAAAGCCTAGATGTGCGTAACACATCTCAATGCCTGGGAGAAAAGTAACATGATGTATCTGCTGCCCAGAAATAAACTCAAGCATGCTGCGAACAGAATTGAACAAATTAGTAAATAGAATCTCACTCACACCCGACAAAAATGCTAAAACAAACGAAAAACTTGTATGTGCTCGTTAAAATGTTTTTTAAAAAATTGAGTTTGTTAAAAAATTGAAGTTTCGATGAGGTTACAGTACGCATCACAGTGACATGTTAAGAATAGTGAAGTTGCGCTTTAAAATGTTACCAAATTCCGAAAGGAGTTGAAAAAAGAAGAAAATTCAAGCATTATCACTGAAAACAAAAGTAAAATAATTTTTTATATATATCTTTTGAACATTACTCTTGTTCATAAAGATGCCTTTATTTAAATTAAAAGGTTTTCCACTCTATTAAAAAAAAAAATTAAAAAATAAATATATGTATATAAGATTTTATATATGAAGTGTAATGTGAGAGTGCCATAAAAGAATTCAACCTTGATTTATTTCTCTTATCTAAATCCTTTCTCTACCCTTAATCTGGATGATATTTGGACATAAGGAATTAAATTTTAAGCTTTGTATAAAGCTTTATAGTTTGTCCGCTCTTGCAATAAAATAATGTAGACATGTGACAGACAGGCCCAGTTTGCAAAATTGCAAAACACATTTTTTTTAATGAATTCGCTTGAAAAAAGTAAGAGAATATTGATTCGGCGATAAAAATATTATTTAAAATTCAAATTGTTTAAGATATCACCCAAGGTTGAAAATTCAATTTTCTTCTAGGAAAAAAAAAAAGGTTTTTGTTCAGAAAATTCATAAACTGTGGTACTGAAGATTTACAAAATTAATGATCAATGCGTATTTAGTAAAAAACCAAAAAATTCTTGTGTGCGCTTGGATTATTGCTGATATCTGATTGATTATAAATTTATAACTATGTATTTCATATAAATAATTAGCCATCTTTGTAATTGTCAGAAATATTAACTGATGTTTTCGAATATACAGTTTATTTTCATAAATTATGTTTTGGAAACGGGTTCAGTAGGTTTATTAAATTATAATTTTATAAATTTATTTATACTGTTTTAAGGGTGGATCTTAGTTAATATTCCTTCGATGAAAAATACACTGTTTACTTTGCTATTCAGAAATTGTTAAATTTGAATCTCTTTCTAACCAACCAACCATTCTTTTAATTAAATATAAATTAAAGTTGGTTAAATAATAACATGATAATAAAAAAAGAAAAACAAATACACCCTCTGCAAATTAACTGATAAGATAACAACCCCCCCAATCTTCTAAACATTTTTCCGTTTTGTTTGTTTACAGAAACGAAGTGATACTTTAATTTTTGAGTCATCCAAGTTTGGTCACATAGAGTAATGGGATCTCAGCGATTCTGCCTCAGATGGAACAACCATCAAAGCAATCTTCTGTCCGTCTTCGACCAGCTGCTCCACGACGAGGCCTTCGTGGACGTCACGCTAGCTGTCGAAGGGCAGTTTTTACGAGCTCACAAAATGGTGCTCTCGGCCTGCAGTCCTTACTTCCAGGTGATGAATGTTCAAGTGTTTTTTTCTCTTCTTCTTAATTTTCTGCTTTTCTTGTTTTGCTTTGAGGGATGACCTCAGGATATTTTTCAAGTGTTCCCTGCTTGGGGTGGGGTTGGAAGTGGGTCGGTAGAGGGGTTGGGGGGAGTCCTTGGACTCTAGGTATTACATGAAAGTCACAATTTAAACTTCGACACTAACATTTTCCTTGGAACAATTTATTACTCTGGGGTTTTCCACACGATTGATAGACCTATTTTTGTTTTATTCTAAATAAACCTTTAAAAAATTCAGAAATTTTCATTATTGCATAACATTACATACATTTAAAAACTTGTAATTCAGCTTTCTTACTCAATTTACTTTATACAGTTTTATAATAAATATAATTCTTGTAGCATTTCATGTGTGAAAATCTTTATGTGTTTGTTTTTCTTGTTCTCTTAATACAAATTCGACAGCCTGCTGAAGTACCTTCAAAAAGTTAAAAGACAAGAAAACAAGGGACAAAATATGGAGTGAGTCAGTAACAAAAATGCGCAGGGGGGATGAATTTTCGCTTAAAAATGCAGAGGGCCGACGATGACCACTTGATGTTCATGATGATGATCAGCCATAAATAATACATACATTTAGCATTTCATGAAGTTGTAGCTATAAAAAAAATAATTACATATTACTATAACTTAAATATGTATGGATGTGTCCATATTGTCTTTTTATTGCTGGCATCTTTAAATTATTGTGGAATAAGTTGGGGTCCATAACATTATTGAACAACCAAAAAACTTGTCTCAGAATTATTTTAGTTTATTTTGAAATTCGCCATTTCTTTTTAAAATTATCTTAATAATATAGTATGGGAATTATTTTCATGACAACATTTTATCATGTTATCAACAATGGGAGAAAACTTGATAAGCACATCAGTTGAATTAAGTTTTGACTGACAAGCTGATAAGTTTATTTAGTAAAAAAAATTATAATTATACGATGAATTTTATTTAGTTGGTAAATATCCATTTAATAATGGTTGTTTGTTTTTCTTTTCAGGCATTATTTGTAGGCCACCCGGATAAACATCCAATTGTAATTCTCAAAGACGTTCCGTATTCAGACATGAGGTCTCTCCTCGATTTTATGTACAGGGGAGAAGTCAGTGTCGACCAAGACAGGTTGACGGCTTTTCTCAAAGTGGCCGAATCATTGAGAATAAAGGGGCTGACTGAGGTGAACGAAGAAAGGTGCGACTTGCCTTCAATCGCCAATTCGTTATTAAATCAAGCTCTTCCACCGCCACCACCACCGCCTCCGCCGCCGCCCAACCTACACAGGATTCTCCTTCCGCAGCATAAAAGGCACTACTTCCACCAGAATGCCATGCTGAATTCTGCGCTCACAGCACCGCGGCGGAAAAGGGGCAGGCCAAGGAAGTTGTCAGGAAGCAGTTCTGGCAACCCTACGGATGAAAACGACGAGTCAAAGCACAACAACGTTGAAAACCATGTTGGTTAGTATCATGTTTTTTTATACAATTAAATTTTCATTTGAACACCAAATTAAATTAATTTACATTATTTTTTGTTAATTTTTGACATATTGACCAGTGTCTCATGCCAAACTTGATTCTGGCACTAATAACTTTTTCACCAAAACCTTAGAAAAAAAGTATAATTTATTTTTAAAAAAATCATTTAAAAAATTCATCAAAAACATTCATGGACTCATTTTGAATAGTCAAAGTGGAAAAATATTTCACTCATGGTGTAATTTAGAGTAGTTAGAAGGAAAATATTTCATTCATAGTTTAATTTTGAACAGTTAGTGGGAAAAATATTTCACTCATTGTCTAATTTTGAATGGTTAAAGAGGGAAGAAATATTTCACTCATGGTATAATTTTGAATAGTCAAAGTGGAAAAATATTTCACTCATGGTTTAATTTAGAATATTTAGAAGGAAAATATTTCATTCATAGTTTAATTTTGAACAGTTAGTGGGAAAAATATTTCACTCATGGTCTAATTTTGAATGGTTAAAGAGGGAAGAAATATTTCACTCGTGGTATAATTTTGAATGGTTAAAGAGGGAAGAAATATTTCACGCATGGTATAATTTTGAATAGTCAAAGTGGAAAAATATTTCACTCATGGTTTAATTTGGAATAGTTAGTGGGAAAAATATTTCATTTGTGGTTTAATTTTGAATAGTTAGTGGGAAAATATTTCACTCATAGTCTAATTTTTGAATAATTAAAGCGGGAATAAATATTTCACTCATAGTCTAATTTTGGAAGTGGGAAACAATAGTTGTCTTTGATCATCCTGGTCTTCCAATTCTTCCAAATTTTTACATTTTGTTATGATGGATCAGACTGAACATGTTACGATCTTTTCAATAGGCTAATTAACACTAAATCATTAAATTTTAAATAGTAAGGGCATTCCTCTCAGTTAAACCTCTTAAAAATGCCAGAAAATAACCCCTAACAAAATATTTACTGAATATTATTCAATAGCAATTTTTTTTTAAACCACATATTAATTAAATAGATTAAGGCTAAGCTATTGGACAATGTTTTCACGTTACTTTGAACAAATCCGTTTTGTGCCGTTTTAGTTTCAAGGTTAACGAATATTTCCTTGGAAAATAAAATTGCACTGTGGTCATTGTTTACACATTCATTGCTCTTTAATTATTTGTATTTAATTATTATATTTTCAATTTAAATTAGTCAGAGTGTAACAGAGTTTTTTTATTCCTCTTGCTTGCAAATTTCTACCACGTGTATGGCTGAAAGATATGCAGATATATTATTGTTTCTAACAAAGAAGCATTGTAGGGTTTTTTCCTTGTCTTTATTAATAACCTGTTCATATGAGATACCTTTTTGAAATATCCATAAAATGCTCCTCTTACAATTTTTTTCCTTATGTATTATTCTTTTTGCCAACATTGTCATGTAGCAATGTAATCAGTGAATAAAATATCGTAAACCAGAGGAATAAATGTTGTGTTTTTATTTTATTTTCAGATCAGTTGGTGATTAAATCCCAAGGCGGTGCACAGCAGCCTGAAGCCATGGTTCAAAACGATAACACGACAAGAGAGAGGGAAGGATCGCCGAACGAGCCAATTCCCCTGACGAGCCAAAGCGCGAACGCAAGCCCCCAGTGCCTTCAAAATCCCGCTGGCAATAGTTCAACGGCCAGTGAAGGGCCTGTCAGCGATAATCAGAGTCCCGATGATAAGATGGACATCAATGAACTTCCCGACGATGCAGATTCACCCGAAGAAGGCGATGAGACTGAAAATTTTAACACAAAAGTAGAAGAGCCTAAACCGAGCACTTCTGGTCAAGGTAAATTATAGTATATTTTTATTGCTTTTTTGTAATATTCATTTTAGTCTCTTAGCCGGGTTCAAATAATTTAAAAAAATATGACAATTATTCTAGATATTAAATATTTTACCCATTTTATTATATTATTTTATTTTATTATCAGATAAAAAAAATAAATCAATTAGATAATGATATATGTTGCAAAAAAATTAATTAGGATTTCATTGTTTTTCTGGTCAGATATTGCAATTTTTAATAAATTACATGACTACCATTTCAACAAAATACTCCCAAAAAAATTTATTTAGTTTGTTATATTATTTCTTTTGATATCATTTCTTCATTTTTAAAATTGAAAATTTGAATTTTGTTTGACAAAAAAAAATCTTTTGGGCTATAATTGTAAGCACTCCCAGTTCGAATTTTTAAAAATGCGAAATTTGTATGAAAGTACTACAAAAATTGTAGTTTTGAAATCTATTTAGGTTCATAAATGATGACCCTTAATCCTTAATCCCTGTTGCTTAAATTTTTTTTTTTTTACATTGTTTGCCACGTCATTCTGGAATTTATGGGGTGGTCAGGTTAGGCAAACCAGCAAATCTATTGTTTACTCACTCATTTACTTGCGCCAATATTATGAAAAAAAATTGGCTAATTGTATATTTCTATTGGGTTGTCTGGAAAATAATGCAGGTTTATGGCTGTTAAAAAAAATTTGTGAATAGAATTTTCAGTATTTATTGTTAACGCATTTTCTAATGACTTTTCATCAATAAATTTTTTATGTTGCAAACTGGAAGAAAAAAAAAATGGAAGTCAGTAAGCGAGAGTTCTGGAGAACCGGGAGGGCAAAGTAGAACCTCAAGTTCCAACAGTTTTCTTCATATTGTCACATGTGAAACATTGAGCCGAGCATTGTCATGTAACAGAATCGGCCTTTTCCGATTGTCCAAAGATAGTCCAAAGTCTTCAATAATTCCAATTTCTGGTGCATTGCTTGTATTTGGGAGCAATACATTTAGGCATTGATTGTTTCGTCAGGATTCAAGAAGCTGTAGTAAATCTGCCCAAATGAAGCTTATCAAAGAGTCACCATCGCTTTTTTTTGATAAGTTGGGAACTTTGGAAAATGTGGTGCTGCTTCTAATATATTGAGCCACTCTCCAGAATGTATGCTTTTATTGTAGAGAATCCACTTTTCATGACAAGTAACAATTCTATGCAGAAAAGGTTCGTTTCTGTTTCAGCAAAGAAGGTTGCACAAACTTCATAACTTTTTTTGGTGGTCGTTTAGTACATAAGGAACCTAACTTGTGAGCTTTTTAATCTTTCCAATTGCCTTAAGGTAAAGTCTCCCTCATGAAATCACCCCAGACTTCCATTAATGTTTCTGTTTGGGCACAGTTCCGACCGAGGTTAAATTTGTAAAATGAAATTACGTGAAAATCACGCATTGACATCTTAGTAAAGACAGAATTATTCCCAAGTAACGAAAAGCTACTGAGATAAATATTTTTGTTGGAAGAGGTTTGAAAATTTATCAATCGTACGAAAGAATAATCCATCAAACCTAAACAGCTTATTATATAGAGGGGTGATTGAAAGAAAACATGAAAACGTGCATTATTTTCCGGACAACCCAATAGTTATTAACTATTAATAAATTTTAAAAAATATGGGGAGGTGTATATAAATAAATAGATTAAAAAACTGAAATTTACTTGAAATTTATTACTTATATATCAAATTATAAATAATTACCTCAATTGTAAAATGATTATTTCATATATATTGGGCTAGTGCAAAAATAATACAAGTTTTGAAAAGGCAGTCAAAACTATTTTTAATTTTTATAAAGTAAGGAAAATTTATTAGAAATATTTTCCGTCACATCATAATTCATTATGTCATTATTGTCTGTTGATATAAAGATCTTTATTTTGACTTGCAATAAAGATTTTGAAGGCATTTTCGGCTTCACCGCATTCTCTAAAAATTTTATTGCTCAATCAAATTATCTAAAAAAGTGAAAGTCTGTAGGCAAGAGGACAAGGGTGAATATGGAGGGTGCATGGTAAGGTTTCATATCCTGAGTCCTTAAGTTTCCGCAAGGCCTTGTGCGACATGTGGGCCTGGTGCATTTTGTCAATTTCTTGGTAATATTTTTTGTTCTGATAGTTTTACAATAATTCAGAAAATTATAATGAACAACCCCAGCAGTGGTTTCGGGGAGTGTTTTGGCACTTCATCCTTGTCCAACCACCAACCTGCACGCCCCTGTTAACGTACAGAATCCACTTTGATCACAATGGAAGAGATGTGCAAATTTCAAAGCGTCGATTTCTTTGGGCTTCAGTTAGATCATGCAGTATCCACTTGTCAACCTTACCAATTAGCCAATTTACCAATTTGCTGTAGATGGCAAACAATGGTTGAATGGCCAACACCTCTTCCGCGTTTCCCGTCTTGAATCGTGTGAATTTTCTTCAATCATCTTTGAGTTGGTCATCTACAATGGAAGGCATACCGCAACTTTCACTGTCTTCAAGATCGAAATCTCTGAAACCATTGCTGCACTACACATTCTAATGCTTCCCTCCACCCAAAATGTATTGATGTTATGCGCAGTTTGGGCTGTACTTCACCCAAGTTTAAATTCTTACAAATAAATTTGACGAAAATCTAGTTTGTGCGTATTTAATTTCGCAGGCCCTCACTCTTATAAAATTCAATATAAACTAAAATGTTTTGTATAAAAGATAACAGTTGAAAGTATTTATTATAATCCATAAATTAGATTTAAGGATGTAGATTTGTTTATATGATAAGCACCTGTGGAAATTTTTTTTTCAAAACTTGCATTAATTTTGCACCAACCCAATATAAAATAGGTGTGTAAAGCATGTAATTAAAATAAAGTTTGAATGTGTGGTAAAAGAGTTATGACTATTTACAAATTAAGTAATTATTTCCATATTTACTACTTATCGGTAACATAGTCCAGGCTTAAGAAATACTCTGAAGCAAATGTCTTTTGGACAATTATTTACAAAATAGTTACATATTTGCTAATTACTTCAAATTAATAACAAAAATATTACAAACAAAAAACCACGAGGGGACAAAAGGCCTAAAAGATGAACAAAACATTTTTGAGAAACAAAAAATTACCTATTATGGAGGGAAATTTTGACTTTTTCAATTTTTTTATTGTAAAAAATCACCGCAAGGTCAAATTAAAAAACGGTCTTAACAGTAATGTCAAATCAGTACTAAAGGCCTGTGAGATCTGTTTGACACCGTACAATAAGCTTCAAAAGCGGGGTTTTTCTAGAAGTGCATCGTTCTAAAAAGACGTCCGTATATGGGGAAGTGTTTATTTGCAACAAATGTATTAAAGAATTTTTTTTGCTGTCCAGTAGTACTAATGTAGAATTTTTTCCCTTTTGTCAAGTAGATGTGTAAAATTGATTTGTTTTCAGATTCGATGTCTCCTTTTCCCAGTTCCGGCGTCCCGCCTCACCAAGAAGGAGGTGGAGAAAGGTATTCGGCATCAGGTAATAACGATTAAATGTCTTACACTCGTAATATCCGTCCTTTAAATGATATTCTGCACATTATTTTCTGGCAACCCTTGAGAATTACCATCAGTTTTTTTTTCTTATGTGAAACCCTCAAGAATGCAATCGACGTCCAAATTTGGTGCAATGCCCAATAAATTATGATGAATAAACTATGATCCTTAGTTTTAAAAGATAAAGCAAGTGTTAACTTTGAATCATGCTACAAATACAAAACTTTAGGTCGTTTTCTTTTCAAACAGAAGGAAATACATAATTTGCATGGTAATTGTGGTTGGAACCCATAACACGATATTTTTTACAGGGTCAAAAGTTAGATCTCACTAACGCTTCAGTAATAGTGAAATTGTGCACTCGTTTTTGTGTTTTATGTTATTTATACGCTGTATTTAAGTGAAACGTGATAATTTAAACAAACAGATGGGGCACCTTCCTCTACCTTCGTGTCCTTATCTGATCACCATCGGTTTATACTCTAATTCGTTTATGCCTTTACAAATTACGAAGAGAAGGTTCAACATCTGATTGTTAATCCATGAGAGCCAGACCGTCGAGACGGCGTTGAAGGAAGCCGAAGAAATACTTAAGAGGTAAGTTGGGGTTAAAAGTTTATCTAAAGTTTATCTTTATATATCCATTGAGGAATGTGTCCCATCTATTGTTTGGTTTTGGGTCTTGCTCTTCTTTTTCTTTTCCTTTAAACGTTGACTTCTTTTTGTTTTCTAACTGATTTGCATGAAAATACCTTACTTACTATAAAACTAATCAATCAAATGGAATGGATTTCAGAAATTAAAAAGTACTAATTTTAAAAGCTTGCGTATTAATGAATGGATAACAAATTTTCTCTTGATTGTTTTAACAGCATTTCAGTTGAAATCGACCTTGATATAAAAATTTAAATTGCAAATGTTATTAATTTTTAAGTTTGACAAACTAAACGTAAATAGTGTAATAATGCATGGAATAAAATTATATTTAATACACCATGTATCATCTCTGCTAGAAATTAGTGCATGTTTAAAAATAAAATAGGTTACTAATTTTCAATATAGTGATATTTTACTTTCCGTCAGGCACGAATAAAGCTTTTATACCTCTTTTCAGATCTTAAAGGGATGGTCGAGACAGACGAGGATTCACAACATTCTGATATCGGATATTATGAAGATATAATCGCATGTTCTCCTGGCTCGTCAGACGTCGACGAGGAAGTGACAGAAGTATTCACTCCGAGCAGTCGCTATTCGACTAAAAACACCAACTTGATCGATACGGAAAATATCGACGAGGACATATCGCAGTTTGAGCAGGACTCGTTCAGATCCCTCATGGACCAGAAACATCTGCAGACTTTCAAACCGAGCATTCCGAAAGAGAGCAGCAGAAGGATAGACAAAATGTCGATCAGGAAGTATTGCACGAGGGAAGGGAGCCACATGTACAGGTGCAATGTATGTTCAAAGACGTACACCCATATAAGCAATTTCTGCCGGCACTTTCTGTCTGCACACTACGGATACAAACAGAACATACATTGCCCGGTCTGTTTCAAACCTTTCACTAGGAAAGATAACATGATGACCCATGCCAAACAAGTGCACGGCCTGTCTATTGCCAAAGGGTTGCCTTCGGCAGCAAACGAACCAACTTTCGACCACCAAAGCGTAGACTACAATTAACATCTAGTCCTCCAACGAAATACTAAAGACCAAGAAAAAACGTGTGTGATAAATTTTCTTCTTGGGAAACCGAAGAAGTTTTAAACTATTTTAATCATAGTAATCAATGTTTTTTCTTTCTTCTTTTCTTTTTTATTTCCTTTCATTTTCTTTTTGTAACTTGTGTTACCTTAATTAAGTCATTAGATATATTGAATGTTACTAACGCTTTGAGTATATAGATTTTTAAGGGCCAGTTTATAATCATCTTAGTTGTTTATTTAATGTTTTTAAAGCACCCTTTTGAAAATTAAATACATATTGCATTGTTGTGCCTTAAAATAATTATTAATCATGATAGTCATTAAAGTTAAACAGGAATCGAGAAAAAAGTTCTTTCTTCGTAGGTGCCTTAATAAAAATGATCAAGTGGAATTTTTATGTTTTGTAAAGACTAAAAATTAAATGAAAAAAAAAGTTATTTGAACTGAAAATTTTTATAACTAGTCTATAATAGTCAATTATTTATTTTATTTTACTTGTCAAAAACCAAATATATTTCATTTAGTAAAAAATTAAAACATATATATATCGATTGTTCTTAGTGTTCTAGTTTATAAATCAATATTGGTTTAAATTTTTAAAACGTTTATTGTTAATGCTAATGTTTGATTATGTACTGATTAGAAATTTCACATGAATTTGTTTTTTTAGTTTGTATGTATTTCACACAATTTTATTAGTTGCCATATTCATATGATTGTGTAAGTACACAATAAAAATATTTATTAATGTTGTTTGAAGTTAATTTATTTGAGGTCGGATACTCATTTTGTAACTCGTGTCGACCTATCCAACCTTCCTTGTTTCTGTTCTTTTTTACTGCGACTATTTTTATGGTGTCGATAATATGTTTCAATGTGAATGTACAGGCTAACCCTTCTTCCATTTTGAGAAACTACTCCAAACGGCGTTATTATCCTATTTATATTAATTCAATAGTTTGTAAGCATAGGATTTCCTTAATGTATAAACAATGTAATAAAAAAAATCACACTTGCAGTTTTAACTATAAAAGTTGTGGCGGTCGGTTGGGTCAGGTGGCTGGAGGGATGGGTTCTGGGTGCTTTTTACCTCGACCAGTAGGACTTTTCCATGCTGCCTTGGATGCAAAGTAAATGGTTTTTATCCCTGTTGGACACTGATGGTTAAAATAGTACAATGATGGAATAGAGTACCTGGGGTCGTCTGGTGGTCGGGCTTTCTTACAACTTATTGTTTACTACTGTATCTCCAAAAAAAAAAAAAAAAATGCTTTAGAACTTAGCGATAATTCTTCACCATTACACTTAAATACTGAAAAAACGTGTATTTTGGGCTTGCAAAACACTATATTTTATCATGCCCCTTTCTTCTTTGACAAAAACAAAAACCCCTTTGTTCTACTCTAGTTAGTGTACAATTATTTTAATTCAGCAATTCATTTTGCCATAGCATACATATGACAAGTGAAACATAAATTATGAATGTGTGTATGTATGTGCATGCAATAATTATTTTAAATCTAACAGAACTTGTAAGTATATGGATCGATTGTCATAATTATCCATTTTTTAATATTAAGAATTTCAGCTTTCTTAATGCCACCTGCCTTTTTCTTTTTATTGCTATTTGTTGTCGTATCAATTGTTCACTATTGATTTTATGAATTTTTGCCCTGGTCGTTGAAAAGTTTTATTTTTTAACAAAATATTAACTAGAATGATTTTTTGGTGTTACAATAATTTTTGGATTAAATGTATTCCATGTTTTCAAACATTAGAAACCATTTAATTTTTGTTATACTGATTACGTATAGCATGTTTTATGTTCAATTGTTTTTGCAACTGCAGTTAACTTGAAATTTATTTTTAAATAGTTCTACATTCATCATTAATTTAAGCATGAAATCACTTTTTTTGTTATTTAAATATTTAAAATATGAAAGAATCTAATCCTAAAGTGGTAAAGAACAATGGGAAATATTTGTGCTTGTGGGAACTTAATAATTTCTTTTTCGTTTGAAACTAAACAAGTTAGGGATGTTGAGATAAAAACTTCAGAGAAGGAAAAGGTAATTATTTTAACTTTTGGAATTAGCTAGTATAGCCATTGGAAATTTGGTTGATTAATCGATGAATTTTTCGCAGTCAGCCTTTTAAGGAAAACTAAGTAAGTTTGTAGGAAGTTTGAGAAAAATATGTTGATAGTTGTATTTAATGTAGATTTTTAAAATATGTGTTTGTGAAGCTTGGACGATCGAACTGATGGTAAATTTTAATTTCAGGCATGGATAAAATGATGAGGCTTGTACCGCAAACGGAAATGTATCAGCAGTCGACTGGCGATGCAGAGAGCGACAGCGAAAGCCTGATAGTGGCACATATGGGCGACGTCGAGAACAATAATGAAATGGCCGAAACCGAAGAGAAAAGCAACACGTTTGAAAACACATTCGGCGATTTCCCAGAGCCCGCTTCGAGACCGCCTCCGTCCAGAAGAAGAGTGAGAAGGCGTGCGACGTCCAACACGGACCCGGCCGAAGCGTTGACCGAGATGTCCGTCAGAGGACTGAACCTTTTCAGATACGCCTCGATCACAGAAGGAGTCTACAAGTGTATGGAGTGCGCCAAATCGGATATGATAAAGACATTTAAGAATAAGTATAGCTTCCAGAGACACGCCTTTCTCTATCACGAAGGCCATCAGAGGAAAGTGTTCCCCTGTCCGGTCTGCGCCAAAGAGTTTTCGAGGCCCGATAAAATGAAGAACCATATGAAAATGGTTCATGACTGTTTTATGCCAAAGGAAGTATTATTCTCAAATGTCGGATTTTATCTTCCTCCATAACAATTAGAGTGCTCTGTATCCCCAGTGCGTTATCAATCACTTTTCTGAAATTTGCACTATTCTATTTTCACTTATATTTTCGAGGACCGACTCGTTGCCGCCTTTGTTTGCTAAAGTACAAAGTGATATCATTCTTTGTAGAAATCGATGTTTATATATACATATAAATATATATTTATGTATATTATAATTATTATATACATATACAATATATAACTGTTTTAACTAAAATGATCAAAAGACCTTATTTGGTGCTTTAGGGGATTATTATATTAGTTCTTATAACAATTATGAGTAAATTATCATTTAAGAGACTAAAATGATATTTTGTCAATATGTATTTATAATGTACTATGTAGTTAAAGCTATTACACATGGCAACTAGCTAACTTTAACCCAGTGCAATTAAACACATTAATAATGTCCAGAATAAATGACATTATTGCTGTTGTAAGCTTTAAATAGTGTACTATTTGTTTTCTTTTATTGTTGCATCAAATGATGCCATTAATTGTTAACATAATCATTTTTGTTTATTTAGAACTATTTTATTTTGAATGATATTTCTCTATTGTTTTCAAATTGCTATAGTTAATTAACAAAAAAAAAATCTTTCTCTTAAGTTGTTGGATATGTGAAATATTCCAATTTATATTTTATATATAATTGAAATTATTTCACATTTATCAATCCATTTGACAGTGTTATAAATGTTTTAGTTTATTTATAATTTGTAAGTGCAATAAAAATAATAAAAATTATTATATGGTTAAATTTTTGAGTATAAAAACTTACTAGTTTAAATTTTTTTGGATCTCTTAAAAATATATATGTATTTCTTGACTCTTGAAAAGACAAGAGTTTTTTTTTATTTTTTAGTCAAGAGTTGAAAGACGATGTATAGCAAATAGACTTTGTTTTAAACATTCAACGTATATTTTATTTAGTTTTGAAAGTTACCACAATATTAAAAATAATTTTTATAAATATAAATTTTAATTTTTACATTCTCCACTAAATTGGAGAAATATCATTCAAGTTTAGATTTTATTTTTCATTATTTTATCGTTTTCTCTTATTATTTTTTTTTATGTTCAAAAACATAAGGTATAGTAATGTTTGAATTTATGTTTATACAAGAAAAGACTCGTTCCATGTGTGTCGTCTTGGGTCATATTGTGGAAATAATGTTTCAAAAACATTGAAAAAGCAAATTTGAAGAATTGTTAAAAACAAAAATAAGTGATAGGCTAAAATTCTTTTTGATATTCCCAAATTGTGATTCCATGATGATCCCGGTTTTTCTTTTTCAATTTTTTTTTTTTTTAACAAAACCTTGATCTTCCAATTGTACATATTTTTAAAACAGCACAATTAAAATCGGTAGTTATTAACATTATTAAAAAAAGTCTAAGGACAATCGTTACGATTGTAAAAAAAAGTATACCTTTAAAAAGGCGTTAAAAAATTATTAACAGAATATGTAGTTGGGCTAGTTGTGTGGCACAATTGGGTTATATATTATTATATATTGCAATAATTGTAGTGCTAGGAAAAGAACATTAAATTAAAATTGTGTTTATACATATACAAATATATTATATTATTTAAATAATTTTAATACCGGTATGTCGGTCATATAATTTATGGGATAGTTTTATGAGTCGCGACCATTTTGAAACCAAGGCCAGTTGAAGATAAGCGTCTCGTAATTCAGGTTCAATATAATTCACGGTACAGTTATAATAAGGAAATAAGGAGTGTGGTAGAGGGGCAATTAGATTAAGTCACGGGATTTTGATTTTTTCTTCCTTTTAATAAATTGGATGTTAACATTAGTAACAAATCAAGTTAACTTGTTCAATTTTGTATTTGTTGAGAGATGACTGGCTATTGTTTTATTATACAAACCTCATACCAATTTTTTGATATCAAACTAAAAGTTAATCTCATCTAGTGCCTTACTTAATACGTTTCTGTGATGATGTCACTGAAAATAGGGTTTTTTTCTATTAAAATTTTATATCGTAATTTTATTTTATAAGTGATGCAATTTATAATTTTTTTTGCTTTCAAATTCTGTGGGAAACGTTTCAGAAATTGTTTTTTCTTTTTTTTTAATGCAGACTTTTTAAATAATTTGTCTTCCATCTCTTCTTCCTTGAGTGTATATACATATATATTTTGTACTGTTAAAGCTTTATTAATAGTTTTTGTGAAACGTTAATTATTTATAAATATATATATTAATTGTTTATATAATTTTTTTTTTGAAAGAGCATAAAATATAAATAAATTTATATAACTATTGTATAGATCACAGGTGTAACTAATTTATTTTGATAAATTCAGAAATGGCGCAATTATCACTTGTTTTTAGCTGAAATAAAGGAACCTTTTTTTCTGTTAATTTTCAGTTTTCAATCAGTATTTTATTTTTTGATTTGTTTTATTTTATTTTTTGTTTGTTTGTTTAATTGAGTGCAATGAGTCATTCCCTAATAACTTCTATTATTCGTATAGTTCTGTATTTCTATTAGTTTGGTGCACTTTGAAAGGTTAGTTTTTCATTATAATATTTATGTATTAATTTTTTGTTTATTTAGTTATTTATTATTTTGTTTTGTACACATTTTATAGATTGCACGAATGACTAGAATCTTATAATACCTATAATAATATACATGTATATATGACGTTTTGTACATATATTGAATATGTACCTAGATGTATTTGTCATGTGCACTGATTTGGAGAAGAAGATAATAAATTTATTTCACTTAACAAGGGGAAAAATAACTCGATTTTATTTTTCATTTAACCCATGAAAGGGGGGTAATAAATATTTACAGCTGTAATGAAATAGTTTCCTCTAATCGAAAACATCTTTTATTTTTAAATAAACATTAATATATGTAATATATGTGATTGCAATAAATCTTACGTCTACCTCCATCCTAATACTATTTTTTTTTTTTTAACTTATGTTGTTACTTTATTGTTTCTTTAATTTTACCTATTTAACATTTTTAAATATTATTAAAACTAAAAGAAAAATGTAAGGATATGTTTTTTTGACATGTTACCGGACCTGGAAAAAATGTGAAAAATGGTCTATGGTGAAAAATAATTTATATCTTTATTAATCAATTTATTTTGGCCTGAATTTCGACAAATAATTGCAGCATGAAATGGAAATTTGTCCAACTAATTTGAAATTTGTTTTCTTTTCAGATTATTCATGGCAGGGAAATTATAAATTTATCTGTCGTCCGATGTCCCATTACAACTTGAACAAATTGGAGGTTAAAAAAAATATGAAGTTCACCATCTCGTTCCAAAATTGTATTTTATTATAAGTTTTAGATATTGTCCACCGGTGTTAAAACTATCCGTTCATTTGGGTATCACTAATGATACACAGAATTGTGACATAAAATATTGAACCTGTTGAAATACTCACAAAAATAAAAATAAGTCACACTTGAAATTATTTAATGCAAAAAAAATAGTAACAACTTATTAAAAAAATGTATCCATGTATTTATTTAGTAGTCATAATTGACTGTATCAATTGTTTTAATTAATTATATTTTTAATCTAAGGTCTCCCCACTCGTGACACTAGCTTTTCCATCTCGACCACGACCTTAGATAAAAAATATAATTAATTAAAATTTATTAAAAAAATATGGGGTGATTTTGATCTAAAATTTGGTTGGCTTTTATTGATAATCATTAATAAATAATTTTTTTTAATGATCTATTTTGCATTGAAATATTAAAATGCATGTTTAAAAAATAAAGTTATAATTTTATGTAATGCCAAATTTTGATGTATAATTATTGATGGGGAGAAAACTTTTTTCTTGTAAATATTTGCTCAGATGCAGTGACCAATTTCCGAGTTTAGTCTGTTCTTGGTGTAATTCTGTCGAAAATGTTTGATTGCAGAAGAGTGTCTCCAGTCAGTCAGCGTATCCATCTGTGAGGATGTCTCCATAACGCCTGCTTCTCCTGGATTTCAGAGGCTAGATGCGTCTCCTACATCTGAAGACGTTGTAATAACACCTATACGAGTAAGTGAAACATCGCCAGTGCAGTTTGCCCCGGGAGTCCATTTCCTTAGCCACGAATCGATACTCCAGCCAAAAGAGGAGCCGTTGGACGACCTCGACGATGACTCGAGCGAGGGGATGATTCCTGGCAGGAGAGATCTCTTAGAGTACTTGATCAACGAGGACGGGTCAGTGGTTTGTAAGTGGTGTGGTGAACTGTTGCCCTCTAGGACGCACTGGTACAGGCACAAGTACAAATTCCATATATCTAATCCTCCAGGGACGTCGAGTCTGTTCAAGTGCTACAGGTGTAATGTTTTTTTTAAATCGCGTAAAGGATACTTAGGCCATGTCAGTTCGAGGCATTCTAAAATCGAGCAGAATGTAGTTTTTGAAAGGGACGATCTCAAGCCTTGCCGCCGTGGTAGACGGATGAGCGAGGATTTCCAGGGCAACCCGGAAGAATATGAAAAACAGAGGGAGAAGGAGGAGAAATTAGTGGCGGACATAATCGACCGGGTTAAAAGGGAATGCGAGGCACAAGGGTCAACAGTTACTAGAAAAGGCTATTCACGAAGGTCTACCATTATGAATTCTTGACAAGAGTAAAACGTCATTTAAATTTTTTTTTATGTAAAAGAAATTAGTGTAGACACCTCCTAACCCTTCAATTTTAAGAGAAAATTGAAAAGCCTTGGCTCTAAAAGTTATACTTATTCATCAACATGTGTCTGTTTTAATAATATCTTTCTATTAATATTAAAATATCTTGTGAAATATTGTGTTGAGGTCTGTGAGGTTAGCTGTCTGTACTAGTCCGCTTTTTCCACTGATTTTGTTCATCACGTGCATTCTGTCATTTCAGTCAAAGGTTGATTTTTCCTGCCATACTCAACGTACTTCACATACCAATGGCTGAAGTTTTAAAGTCAAAATCAGCAAGAATAGGTTGATCTGCGATGAAGCTAAAATAATGAAAATATTGATTCCCAATAAAGAAAGCTGTCCTGTCAAACTAAAAATACAACAAATTACAATTCAATTTAAAAATGTATTCAGCATGGCAGCATGATTTTAGATTTTTCGTATTTACTGTTCAATTTAATTTTGTAGGCAAGACATTTCTAATATTAGCTATAATTTTAATAAATACTTTTTTAATGATAATTTTAATAATTGTTATACTTTTTCAAAAATAGAGTCAACAAGTATCAAAAATGCACTTAACTTTTTTCATAAAACTTTTCAGTTTTATAAAGCCCTGATAAATTTGAATTTAAATTTCTAACATATTAATTTTTTATGTTTTATTTTTTACGTATTTATTTATATTTTACTTTTATAGATATGAATATTCAGTATTTTGGCTTTTATGTTTTCTTGAAGGCTGCGGTCTTATCGATCATCAAGTGTCTCCATCAGAGCAATGCTCCCGTAAACTCCAACCTAGGCAGGAGCCAGTAGTGGCAGCCCCAGGCTAGGAAAGAATGGTGCCTCACTGTTCTCTCGCAAATACTTTTAAATTTAACGTTATAGAGGGGTCGGTGTCTAGACACCATCGACTACTCCAAGCTCGCTGGAGATTCTTGATCAGGCAACCTTCAATCCAGCCCAAGTCTCTCTGGAATCTCTGGACGGGTATTGACACAACCGAGCCCTTCCACACCCCCCCCAACATTGATTAATGCTTTAAATAACCAGACACCATTCCTTATTTAATAAGAAAGATTGTAAGATTAATTTGAATCGTGAATTTATGAAGCTATGTTAGAAAATAAAAAGTCCAGTTACAGTTATGTAGTTAGATTGTCAATAAATGAATGCAGGTTCATTATCATCATTTAATTATTTAATTGTTGGTACATTCAACAAAAGTCAGACAATTCTGTATATCATTTTTGACAGCAAACCTTAAAATGTTTATAAATTATAAGTCTTTCCACTTATAGATTATTAAAACAAAACAGTGTTAACAATAATAAACAATAACCACACTGTTTTAATTAAATTAAATTTAAAAAAATAAGGAACGGTTTTCCTTGCACATTGAGTTTCGTATAAATATTTATAAAGCCAAGGTTTTTCTCAATTTTCCTATTATTTATTAAACTATTACACTGGAGTATACACCATGTATGTAAACGAGTGCAATAATAATACGTTTCTGTTTGTGTATAAGAATTTTAAATTTTGTTGAGTTTATATTAAAAGACGTGATTTTTCCAAGGCGAGTAGAATTGTGTCAATTAAGGATTTAGTAATATCCCGACTAATTTTTTAAAAATAATTTAACCAATATAAATAATCGTTATCGACTTCGGTTGGTTTAATTTGTAATAATAATAAGAAAAAGTGACATTGTTTATAAAAATATATTCTGAAAGGTACCCTTTTTATTTCAAAATATTAAATTATTTTAAACCTTTCATCTTATCAAAAGGCTTATAATATATAAAAGTGTCACTTATTCATATTATAAAAAAAAATGTAAATAATGAATTGTTGATTTAATCAGACACATTTTAGGTATCTAATACCCACTGATCTCAATTGTTCTTAAGTTAACCAATAAAAAAATTATCTTAATTATAATATTGGGATGTTAAAAACTCCTAGGCAATATACGTACTGAATACGTTTGAACCTTTTTAAGCTGCGTTAGTGTTATTTGTTCCAGAGAGTATCAAGTGGAAAAAATTAATAAAAATCAAATGTACACCTACTAGGGCCATGCCTTTTGTATTTCTCTCCACTTGTTTCTTTCTTTTGTCTATCTGTGATTTATTTTGTCCTGTACCTGTGTTAATCCAGGTGTTCTACATCCAAAAGTTATTTGGTTTCCTGTCTTCCTTGAGTTACCAAAGGACCTGTATCCATTTAATGGGCGAATATCCCTCCTGTTCCTCGTGTTTTTTTTTTCTCTGCTCATTAAAATGTACAATAATAGAATATGTAATTTAAGGGGGAAAAGGTGATCTTTATATAAAATTTAAATATATATAATTTAAAGAACAACACATACCTCAAGACTTGTGAAACATTGTACATGGGATTTTTATTAATAAAATAATAAAAATTAAATAAAGTGCCAAACAGGATAAAAAAATCTTTTATTGATGTGTTAATCCTTTATTATTTTCCTTTAATATTGTTTGTACTAAAATTTAATAACCTGATGAATCTAAAGAATAATAATAATATCTACCCATTACAATTTAAATAAAGAAGAGATGGGGTCAGATGAGGCCAAAAAGTCTGTATTCTCTTACACCAAGAAAGACATCATCTTGAACCAGAAGTTCGCAATATTAATGTGAGTATGAGTCATCGAGGTCAACGGTAAGTGGATAACGCAGATGCAGTTGGCGTTTCACAGTGTTGTCTCCCTGGCTTTAACCCAATTCTGAGAGGCTGGAAGCGCCAAAAGGAGACCTGGTAGTGGATCTCAGCACAATACGACGCTAAGGGAGGACAGAAATATTGTTACTGCTACAAGATACAGAGATACAAGAGACAGGCTCTTTCCATAGTGCACGCCAGGTACTAAATGGAGGGCAAGATGTTTTGGCAAGGCCTTCATTCAATTCGTAATCGTTTGTGGGAAGTTGGCCTAACGTCGTATACCCCTTTGAGACGACCTTCATTAACAGCCTGCCACCACGAGAATATGATGCAGTGAACACCTAGAAAAGAACACCAATTGGAATATTGCTATGTTTACTGATGTCGCATTTTTGTCTATATAGTGATAGCAGGCGCTGAAGAGTCCTCCGAGAACATGGGTTCCATATAATACCCCAGTTACCTTTCAGTGCAGTTTTGACGAGGTGGTGTAATGGTCTGGTCTGGGATTTACACTGGAGGACGAACTGGACTCCGTATTGTTGAAGGCAACTTCACCGCAAAGCGATATGTCCAAGAAATTATCTCAAAGCAGTGATCTCACTGGCAGGGATTTTTTCTGGGTGATAATAGCAGACCTCATAGAGACAGAATTGTTCATCAATAGATTTGTTAGAACATTTAGGGAATTTCCCATCTGCTCCTTCCCCTATTGTCACCAGACGTCAATCCCATTGAGCACATGTGGGATGTGTTGCACAGAAGGCTTTTCGATCACAATCCGCAGCCAGTTGACCTGCAACAACTGAGTGCCGAGTTGCAACTTCTATGGGGTGAAATTCCTTGGAAATTAGCGACAACGTTATTAACATTATGCCTAGTAGGTGGACAGGTTTTAGCTATTAGAGGACCTTATACACGGTATTCATTGTTAAAACAAAAAGTATTGGGTCCAATAAACAAAATTATGGAATTAAATTCTATTTTCAAAATACTTTAATTAAATTTTCCTTCAGTAAAAACATAATAATTTTTAATAAATTTTAATGCAATTTATAATAAAAATAAAATAAAAATGCTAAGGAAAGTAAATACTACAAAATTGGCAACATCCTCTCAATATCTTCAATCTATACAAAACAAATTAAAAAAAAACTTTCTTACAAACTCAATCTTACTCTGAACTCTGCCTACCTTGGGATCCGCTCTAATTTAAACTTTTCAAACTGGCACTAAGAAGGGATTACTTTGATATTGTTTTTGTATTTAAATTATTAAACAATATCATTGATAGTCCTCTCCTCTCTCAGCTACAGCTACCTGTCCCTTCACACTCTCTCAAAACCCACAAACTATTTTATATGGAATTCCAAAGCTCTTACTACATATTCTCTTCTCCTCTACGTCGAATGATGATCAAGAGTAACACATCTGCAATAGCATTGGCTTCTTCAATAGTTCTGTGCATTCTGTGAAAAACCATATCCTACAACCCAACTTTAGTTGAATTTTCTTACCAGTTTATATTTTTTAAATGATTTTATATTTCATACCGTTAAAAGTTTATTACACTTTATTTCATTTACAGGTTCACCTAAATCTTGCACTCTAGTCTTATTATATCTACAAAGAGCATTATTTTCATTAAATATGTACCTAAATAATGTAGTTTCAATTGTCTTTCAGCTTTATTTTGTTTCCTTTGCCTTAATTTGGTTAGTAATTATGTCTCATTTTTGTTGTTGTTCAGTTTTTACTCTTTGTTTTATATTTATCATTTATATTGACCATTTATAACATTACCATGTATACAGGGTGAATTGCTACTCGTGCTACAAACTTCTCCAGTAGATTCTTCACCCTAAAATGAACAAAAAAGTTCATATTGACCATGGTCCGATNAGGTCACGATAGCTCAGGTGGTAGAGCAGCGGCGTATCTAGCCGAAGGTCGTGGGTTCAAATCCCTCTCGTGCCATTAACTTTTTTTCATCTCAACTAAAAACCTTAATTAATTGTAATTGTTCTTTATATTGTAACGTCTTGAAAATAGAAATTTGGAATCTGCCTTTGAGAGTGGATGATGGATAAAGATCGTTTTGTAGTTGATGATCGATGTAATTGGAACTATCGATGGCCCGAGCATAACCGTCCAGCGACACGTGCGTTCAGGAGAGGTGAGTAGTATGGCAATATTTTTATTTAAATTATCAACAACGGCAATGAATTTTTTTTTCTTTTTCCCATGAGTTTTGACTGTGATGTCGACGGAAATCACAAACGGCAACGAATTGTGTCGCCTGTCGCTGGAAAGGAGCGAGACATTCCAGTGCCTCATGACCGAGGTCGGCAGACAGCGGTTGGACGAGTTCATGGCAGACGAGAAATGTCAAAATCGATCAAAAAGAAAATCGATATTCAAAGAATGGCTGGACACCGACGTGAGTTAAAATTATATATAAATCAAAATATAATATAAAAAATAATTGCTATTATGTATGTTTCTTCCTCATTGTAACATGCTCTAGAGAAAGGGAATTTATATATTTTTTATATGTTCTATCCATGTTATTTATTGCATATTATATTTGTATATTATATTATTATATAATTATTATATTATTTTGTTATTTTTTATATATTAATTTTTAAGTTTAATTTATTCCATATATACACATATTAGTGCCCGATGATTATATCGTAATCAAACATAGCCTATCATCACATAGTATTATGAAAAGTCTTGAGTTCAATGGCCGTGACTGAATGCACTGACAGACAAAAAATTCCGCCTACTTGAATTATAACTTGATTTGTATATATTTTTATATTAATCAAAGTTTCACATTTTTTAACGTTTAATAATTGAGGCTTTGTATAAAAAAGTTAAAAAAAAAAAAAAATGTAAATTGCTAAGGAAAATGGAAAAATAATAAAAACAATTTAAAAAAAGACAGATAAAATTTGTTTTGATTTTGTTTTAGATTTTTAATTAACATTCAATATCGCATTTCCTCCTCTTGCTTTAATTACTCGAAAAGTGCCTTGGCGTACTTTCTACCAGTCTGGAAATGTCTCTTTGCTGGAGGTTAGTCTTTTCTTCACGAAGAGTCCTTTCAAGATTGTGAAGTCTATCGGGAAGCGATGAACATGTTCTTATTCGTCTTTTGAGGTTATCCAACAAATGTTCGATGGGGTTCTGGTCTAGAGAACCGGCTGGCCAGGCTAAGACCCGATGTTATGCTGTTGAAGGTAGGTTTGTACTATGCAAACGTGGATGGGCATTATCGTGCATTAGAATAGGATTGTCGTTGATTTCATTGAGGATATGCAACGCACCCTCCAAGAACAACAACCAACTCTGTGTGACTCTCCATTGAAATTCCCGCCCACACCATCACTGAGCTACGTTGAAAAGGTTGGCTCTGGGAAAAATTACAGGCGTACCTTTCATTTCGCCTTCTCACGTTCCATTAATAAATTTGAAACTTAAAACTCTTACAACTTAAAAAAATTAAACCACCGTAAAGTTAGTAAGGAACTTTACAGAAAAACCAACATAGAAGAGATTGACTATTCAAAGATTTATTAATTAAATCCAATTATAAATATATGTGGGAGATTTTATCTGTTTTATTTACCTCTAATCCTTTAAAGTGGACCAAATATTATTGTAAGATAATCAATAGAGATTGTCTAAGGGATAATTAAAAATATTAAGTGTGGCGACTTTTTTTGCCTCTCAGTGTAGTTTGATTAAATTACTGAAGGACGTGAGTTACATTACTTAACTACTTATTACTACTTAGTAACAGTACTACTAGTTTTTATAATTTTATTTAAGTTTATTAAATTTAAAATGTCTTATTTAACTTTTTGTAAATTTCTAAAAAGGACTGGGAACCTCCTTTAGAATTGCTGTGGAAGCTGAATGAAGAAGAAATGTTGTTCGTTACAACATATTTTTACTTGTAAGCAGTATCAAAGTGAAAAATAAAAAATAAAATAAAATAAATATAATAATAATAGTAACATAGACCTTTAAAATTCACCCTGTTTTTCAGACATGAAAATTATGCTTTACATTTGTACCAAAGTTTTGAAAGAGTATATTCTGAGCCATTTGATTCTGAAGAGAAAGAATTGGCTATCTCAATAATATCAAATGTACTTGTCACTCTGGTAAATACATACTTTATTACAGAAGAAGAGTTTAAAAGATGTTTTCAAGGAATTGTGAACAATATAATCAATCAGGTAATTTCATCTGATAATTGATGGATTCTTGAGGAGCGGTTGACAAAAATCCAACAACTTATTAAACGGCCACTAAAAGAACACATTAATAATTTTATTTTCAGGGGATTTCACTTCTTGATCAAAACAGGATGAAACGTTGCTACATATCTGATATGTTGAACTCAGTTTATATATTTGATTCTTGCCTGAATCAGTTTTCTCTGTCTTGCTTGCAACAACTTTTGTGTTTTCCATCAGGGGAAATGAGTTTGGGGCAGGTCGTTCACACTCATACACAACTCTGGACGGTCAAGACGATGAGTGAAATCGTTAAGCATTTCATATTTGAGGTTTATAATTTTATTAAATGACATTTTATGTACTGATTTTGATAAACGGCCGGTTTAAGATTTTGAGACTGATGACTGCAGAAAATGTTCTCCATGAATTGAAACTGGCAGGAGCGAAGCCGACGTTAAACTGGAAATATTTTCTTATGATTGTGTCAATTTTCATCGAGGATTCTCCGGACAACTCAGCTATGATTAGAAGCATGTACATGTATTTTCCCATTTTAATTAGTGTTTTAATTGTTCTTTGCATGCTAATTTTAGGAGAAGTAGAAACTTGGCTGCAATCAGGATTGGACCAGTCAAGCCGCCACTTTATCTCCTTAGCGGTGATTGTGGCTCGTCATTGTAGTCATGGGAAAACAAAAAATTTAAACAATTATATAAATTGGTATGGCTCTATTCAGCTAAAGACGAGCTCAATGTTCAGGTTCTTTTTAGATTTTCTGACTGAACTTGTGCCTCATGAGCCACCTCTCTACCTTAAAATTCATACCAATAAGGTAATATTTTTATTTTTTTATTATATTTTTGATTTAGTAATTTAATCAATCAACCTAAATCAAAACTTTCCTTCTGTGGTCTTTGATTGATGAACGTGTAATTTGATCTTTATTGATCATTTTGATCTGCCTGTCCTTGCTTAGTTGGTCTGTCAGAAACACTGACAATGGAAAAATCTGAAACACATCTGACAATTACAGGAGGGAATATCATAATTTTTTATTTATGTTTAAAACATTTAGAAACAGTGAAATCTTTTGAACAGGTGTTGGTGGCACCGCAAAACTGCCAAGATCTACTTTCAGATTATTTAAGCCTGGCAAAAACACGTCTGTCTGATTTAAAAGAATCCACTGAATATCTGGGACTTTTCAACGACCTACATGAAACAGATCAAGTATGCCTTCTTTTATTTTGAAAAATAAATGTTTAAAGTTATATGTTAGATAAATATTATGTTCCAATGTTCCACAACGTAGTATTCTTGGTTACAAACTTTATATTGCTGACCTACCTAAATAACCTCATACCACTGCCACCGCCTATGTGGACAATATCACAATTTATCCTCCTACTCAAATCCTGTCCTCAAGTCCTCCAACGTCCAAGAATACCCTGGACTTATCGAAGATTGTGCAAAAAGTGGAAGGCATGACTGAATTAAGAAAAATGTAATTAGCGTTTGTTCATATTGAAAAATCAGTCTTACTCTCCATCATACATTAATGAAGAGAGAACTTCCATTCAAGTCAAATATTTAGGACAATGCCTAGATAGCTGACAGACTTGAAATCCCCACACAAGTATTAAGAGACAACTCAACAGAAGACCTGGACAACTACGAAGACTTCTTGGTACCAAAATCTGTCTTGACCTTCACCACTAAACTAACCTATACAAGACTATCAACACTAAAATAACCTTATACAAGATTTTACTGTGACCACTTTGCACATTCAAAAAGGAATTGTGGGGTTCTTCCAAGCCATCCAACTTCCAGTGCATTCAATCCTTCTAATCCAAAGTCCTTAGACAAATTGTCAAAGCTCCTTATTACATCAATAACCTCAATATCCACAATGACCTCAACATTCCTTTTGCTAACAAACTGATCCATTCCTGATTCCAAAAGGTTCATAGCAACCTCTTAATTCATTTTAACACTACCACTCGAGACTTCTGTACATTGTGTTGACTTCCTTAGAATCCACCACATTGCCTTAACCGATGATGTCTTCAAGACCTCCTTTCCCTAAGCAGCAACAACTTAATAGAACCGACAACACTATACTAATCCTATAGACTTTACTCCAACCCCTTTGGACATGTGGAGTGGAACTGTGCGGTTCTACTAAGTCATGTAACGTCCAGTGCATCCAATCGCCTTAATTGGTGATGGCCTTGAGATCATCTTGTCCCTCAATCCCTCATACTGAGTCCGGCATTGGCTGGTTTCTCATGTGCTTTACAGGTACAGTGGTGGTATTAGTGTTAGTGCGGTAACTGTGTGAAAAAAAGTTTTGTGATAACATTTGTTTATATAAATATGTGTAGAGCACAAACAAAACAATAATAAAAAATAAATTTAAAAAAAGGTTTAAAAGAGTGTATTTTAGCATAAAATCTTAATAACTTCAGAACTTTTCAAGGTTATAAGCAATTATAGATGTTTTAAGTCCAAAAATATAGCATGTAAATTTCAACAATCTGCAAAATCATAGAAAAGAAACTGTTCAGTTTTGGTAGATAAACGAGAGATTAATATAAACAATTCTTATGACAGATTGGACTTGACTACGATGTAGCGAAAGCGATTTCAATGTTCAGAGAAAGTGGCGAAATACCCAAGGCTGTCTTGGAGGCGCATGTCTTTAGGCGGTCATACTTTGAAAAGATGTTCCTCAAGAACCTATTAAAAATTGGAGAAAAAGTCGATTCCGACAGAGCCCAGTTTATCCACAAGCTTTTCTCCATGGGAAAGATCCCAAACACGCTTTATAAAGCATGGAAGGAATTATAATCAAGGTATGTAATAATAATTGTATGGCTTAGGTAATATCATCTCTGTTCTTGAAATCTCATAAATGTTTGTTTACTGTAGATATAATATTACATTATTATCTGTGGTTCATTACGGTGTATTGTATATTAAATGTAACTAGTTTTAATTTAAATAAATGGAAAGATTTAAGTTTTTTTTTTATACCAAGAATTATGGTTGTTGTGTGTAAAATAGACTAAGTGAAGTACCACAGTTCCTCATAATATTTTCCATACTTTTTTTACAAATAAATAGTTTTGTGTAAGGCTAAGTGTTTAAATTAGTTTGTTCAAAAAATAAAACAAAAAATAGTTCATTTTTCATTGTTCAACAAGTTGCAAAATTTTTCTATTTTGCAAGCAGATTTCTAAAGTTGTTGCGAGATAGGATCAAATTGAAATCTATATTTAGAATGCACTATGTAAACAATTGTCTGATTATATATACTGCAATTATGAAAGTGCGTTTTCAGTTGATATGCAAAATGAACAACAAGGTGAGTGAGAGGTACTATTTGTTTTAAAAGTAGTTTGATATTCCATGTATTCCAGGTGATTTTTGCATGCCTTTTGGCCCTTATGTTCTATGTCCTCGGGTCCTCGGCAGTACCTGTCAAAGGGATGAAAGGAAATCTGCCACCTACTCCTCCTCCACCTCCGCCAGTGATTGTGTTTTCAAACAATCCAGAGCCGTCAGTCTTCAATCCCAACCCTGTTCATAACCCAAATGTAGTACATTTCTCTTATAAATTAAACTAATAAAAAAATTATTTATATATTTTTTTAAAACTTATTGTGTGTTTTAAATTAATTTATTGTAGCCTTGCAAATAGGATTTTTAATACTTTATGTGCAAATTAAATAATCTCATTTATGTAGTTAAATAGGGTAAAATGAAAAATATTTTGTTTAGATGTCTGTGCCATTCAAACCAACTCTAAAGACACCAACACACTTGCAAACAAATAATTAGTTTATGTATTAAAACTTTACGGTGACTTGCTAAGTGATGAATTATTCAGAATGGTCATCTTGGTAGTTAGCTCACCTGGGTTTTTTGGGACATGACAGACAGAATGTACATGTGTGACATCTCTTACAAACAGATGCCCCAAAAAATAAAATTAATTAACATTAAATTAATAATATAAACTAAAATATATAAAAGATAATAATAAATTAATTAATAAGAATTTTAAAAGGTTGGTACCAATGAAAATAAAAGAAAGAATAGAGGAGCTCGAGGGGACAGAGATCTCACCTCTCTCTCCTGAACCTGTAGGAACAAACCAATTAAAACCACAAGGTATTTATGATCATTTATTTTCAATTCCTGATTTTCTTTGCGTGATCGTCAGTTAAATTTATTTTGTTCACTTAAATTTATTTTATTTTACAAAAAAAGGTGCATTTGTTTTGAGTTTATTAAATAAGATCAATAAAAATATTATTTTGTTTCTGATATTAACACTGTAGTATTCAAATTGTAATAGAAAACTTTATTTTATTTAATTCCTAAAGTAAACTTATTTGAATTAATTGTACATTTCCTAACTGTAATAAACGTTTAACTTAAAAATAAAACAAAACATTTGTTTCTTTTACACTATTTCATTAGAAGGTATCTTTGTTAATTAACCTAATAATTTTACTGAATAATAATATAATATAAAAGTAAAATCAAAATTCATTCCTTTAAAAAAATACCTCTGGGGCTAGTGAAACTAACTTGTTGGGCCTAAGCTTAAAGCAAATAATTTTTAAATTTTGCAGATCCACGGATAGATATCACATGGAAAAAATACCAAAATGTGTCTGACAGTTGAAGCTAGCAAGAATTGGCAGATCTCATTTACTTATTGCCTCATTAGTTTGGAAGACTACAATTGTTTTGAAAGTGAATGATTTTATTAGTTTATTTCATTACATTTGTTATATTAGTGAATGCATTAATTCACACTCCAATTTTTTGTTGAGTACAAGCTGTTCATTGCTCAGTATATTAACTTTCAGTGGTATTTTTCCTCATCTTTGTTATTGGTTTGCATGGTACCCTCACAGACTATAAAATATATTTATAATAATGTTCTGAATATTCTTGGGGATAAAAACTATTTCACACAATTTGCCATGCACATTGTTTTACCATTTTTTGAAATGAATTGAAATGAAATTTATTTTTATTTACAAAATATATACAGTATTTACAAAGAAATTAAAAGACTGGCTTCAGGCTTCCTGCCTATATACCTGATCTGAAGTAAAAAAGAACTAATTTAAACATATCTCAATATTAATACAGAGGGGGAAAAAAAATATAAAAAAACCCTTTACATTATATAGTTAATTTACACCAAAATGTGCTTCACTCTTTTGTACTTATATTTTTTGCAAAGTGTCTGCAAGGAGGCAGCTTCATGGTTAACAATATTTCTAATAAGTCTTTTCAGAGGATCTTCGGAAGAGGTCAAAACAGAGAAAACTTCCTTACGGTTTTCGCCGAGCTTTCGACAGTTTTATACTGTCATCTTCAGGGCTTTAAAACCTTAATAGGACATTAAACAACATGGTGTTTTGGGCACAGAAGTACATTGTTTTTTTCGGCTCAGCATCTCATATAAGGTTTCCCCTCGTCGTAGAGATTATTTTTATCGGTTTTTATTGATTTGAATTGTATCTGAAAGACGGGATCATAAAAGCGGCGTCATCAGCATATAGGGCACACTTTGGCTTAACTTTTAGTTCGGTTATACCATTAATAAATAAATTGAACAATGTGGGCCCAAGGACAGAGCCTTGGGGTACACCAGCAGCAATTGGCCGAAAGTCAGTGCTTACGTTGTTAAGCGAGACACAAAATTTCCTATCTTCCAGATTACTCCTTATTAAATAAATGATGTATTTGGGAAATTTATAATTGATTAACTTAAAGAGAAGCCCATTGTGCCACACGCAGTCGAACGCTTTTTCAACATCAACCAGTGCCATCCCAGTGTGCTTGTTCAAATTAAAATTGTGCTCAATAATATCTGTGACCCTTGCCAATTGTGTTGTGTTGCTGTGATGTGACCTGAACCCAAACTGTTCAGCCGCCAGTAGGTTCTTCTCTTCAATAAACCATTTTTTGAAATATTTGTCCTATTGTGCCTATTATGCATATTTGTGGCTTCTACTTTTTTTTCTGGTACATCTAAATTTGTCTTACATAAATTATGAATGAGATTATTTTCTAATCCAGGGAGAACTTTACTGACTAGGACAAATACAATGACATATACGCTTTGGTTGATTGAATTTGTTGGAACATTATTTCTCATAGGAACTCACAAAATTGTTCAGAAAGTACAGGGTTGGAAATTTTGCATGCCACCATGAGCTATGGACAGTTTCTTCTTCTTTCTAAATGCTCCATCTATTTCGAGGGAGACACTCATGGATGAATCAGTATTACCTACGAAATCTGGCAAGTGCAATACCAAAATACTTCTCAAAAAAAAAAAAAAAAAAAAAATATATATACACTATAGGAAGCTTCTAATTCATTTCTAGAGATCATGATACACATCAGAACTTAACAACGATGACCACAGTGCAATGAGCTGGTGACAGTACATAACCTACCAGTAGAGTGCTAGGGATTAGGTGCAGTCCACCCCACCACTGTTACCACCTATGTGGACGATACCACAATTTATCCTCCAACTCAAATCCCATCCTCAAGTCCTCCAACATCCTAGAACACCTTGAACTTATCGAAGACTGTGCAAAAAGTGGAGAGCAAGGCTGATTGAAGAAACTTGTAATAAGTGTACATTCACATGGAAAAAACAGTCTTACCCTCCATCATGCATTAGCGAAGAGAGAACTTCCATTCCAATCAAATATTTAGGACAATGCCTAGACAGCTGATAAACTTGAAATCCCCTCATAAGAATTAAGAGACAACAACTCAACAGAAGACCTGGACAACTACAAAGACTTCTCGAGACCAAAATCTGTCGACCATCACCACTAAACTAACCTATACAAGACTATCAACTCTAAATTAACCTATGCAAGACTATCAACACTAAACTAACCTATAGTATGGTAAAAAGGATACTAGGAAGTAGGGTTTGCATTCCCCAAACTAACCTATACAAGACTATCAACACTAAATTAAGCTTATACAAGTCTTTACTGTGATTACTTTGGAAATATGGAGTAGAACTGTGGGGTTCTGCCACGCCATCCAACATCCAATCTTTCTCATCAAAAGTCCTCAGGCAAATAGTCAAAGCTCCTTATTACGTCAATAACCTCAATATCCACAATGACCTCAACATTCCTTTTGTTAACAAACTGATCCATTCCTGATTCCAAAAGGTTCATAGCAACCTCTTAATTCATCCTAACCCTCGTATAGGCTTGAGCCTTCTGTACACATTTACATCCTGAGAATCCACCACATCGCGTTAACCAATGATGGCTCAAGACCTTTCCTTAAGCAACAACAACTTAATAGAACTGACAACACTAAACTAATCTATAGACTTGGCTCCAACCCCTTTGGACATGTGGAGTGGAACTGTGCGGTCCTACCAAGCTAATTACTTACGAATGAGATTATTTTCTAATTCAGGGAGAACTGTACTGACTAGGACAAATACAATAACATATTTGCTTCAATCTATTGAATTTGTTGGAACATTATTTCTCATAGGAAGATTCAAACTAACAGCAATGACCACAGTGCAATGAGCTGGTGACAGCACAAAACCTACCAGTAGAGTGCGAGGGATTAGGTTCAATCCACCCTTTGATAAAAGAAATGTTTTATTGCATCGCAGCGACTATTAGGAGAACTTATTTAAATATTTACAAATGAAGAATAACCTGTAAATATGCATAACTTAACTTGCCTCTTTACAAATGATCTCTTACTTTTGGATAATGTATTTATTAGCAAGAACTGTGGTAATTGATAACCTTGGTGGCCCCGTAATGTTTTTAATTGTAATAGTTGTTGGTATAGGTTTTAGACTTAAAACATTTATATAGACTTTATACAGACTAAACCACACATGTACATACATACAACAAGCTCAACAGCTAGGTAAATTTAGCACCCAACACATGCAGTTCCAAACCCATTCATCCTCCCGTTCATTACTAAATATATTCTCTCTTTTTTACATTTTATTCGCTCAATAGGGTCAGAGTACTCTTATTCCTCATCACCGTGATTGTACGGTGTGAACAAATGATAAGAAACTGTATTTATTAGCGAAATTGATGGTGGATGTATTTTGTATTAGTCTATAGGCTTTTTGTGTAAATGATTGGCTGCTATTGGTTTATAGAGTACTGCTACATTATTTACACATTTTGGTAAAACGAAACCTGCAGTAATATAAAATAATTACAAAATGGGCTTAGGTAAATGTATAGTGTGTGAGCTCACATTTTAATTGGAGGCGTGACAGGTCGAAGGTCAAGGAATTTTTCATGCATAAAAAAAGACAAATTGGATAAACATACATTTTATATTTGATAGAAAATAATAAAGTCACAAAAATCACATGGCAAAAGATCTGAATTGAAATCAGTAACATAAAGTGTGTGAAAACATGAAAGCCAAGGGAAAATCTAAGACATTTATTTACATCTTAATATTAATGTATTTTTAAGTGTAATTTGTTCTATTTAATTACAACTGGTTTCTAAAATAATTGTTGTAAAACACTCAACCTGTAAAGTTGAACTGAAAATATCTAGACATGAACAGTTTACAAAAATGATTTCAAATTGAATTGTATATAAATTTTAGAGTGCCAACCACACTTAAATGCACAGTCACATCTTCATTTTCCCCTTAATTATCTTAGTATAAATTCATTAACTTTTATTTTAGCAAAGCAATTTGAGCATTTTCAGGATCAGAATTTGTCACTATATACAATTTTTTTTTCTGAGCTTAGAACAAGCTTACAAAGATTTTAGGAGATAATAATAATACATAGTAACACCATTTAATGAATTTCTACTCTTTTGACTTTTGCACTATAATAAATCATATTTTATGCAGCATTGTTAAAAAAAAAAAAACTTTGGTAAATAATCGCTTATTAAGCTTCTTGGATAGTTCAAACTTCTTAGTAATTTTTTGAATATTTCTTTTGGTATATTGCAAACCTGCCACTAATTTCCACTTGTCTGTTTTTCCAATTTATGCAAACAAATATTTTCAACAAATCTGTTGTTAATATTGTTTTATATATTTTTAACAAACTTTCCTACATTTAATGGATGGGTGTTTATAAGGGTCATGTGGAAAGATAAATTCGAAAATTGTGATCTATAATCTAATAAAACTATTTTCTCCCAACAATATTTTTTTTGTATTTTAATCTACTTTTAAACTCCTCAATTTAAAATGTGAAGTATTTCTATAATTTATATATTTACATATGAACATATTATTTATATTTATATATATATATATAGCTATGTATATATAATTCACATCATTCAAGTTTCACTTTTCTTTTATTATGTCATTTGGTATCATGATTGTGTTTAACTAATAAAATACATTTTTATTATTTATTATTAGAGTTGACAGCGCAAATTTCTCAAGTGCAAAACCGATCTAAAAGCTAAATCCATGCCGAACTTTTATTTCACTTTATTTACTTTTTAAAATGGAAAATTGGCACATTAATTTAGTGCAGAATATACAATATTTTTTATAGGTTAAAGCCTCTGTTTTATTATATCAAAATATCTTAATTCTATATTTATAATAATTTAATAAATATTGCTTTCTTAAAATTGACCGAACTAAAATTTCTCATAATTACTTTTTTTTTTTTTAATTCTCTGAGGAAATAGTACAAAGTGTACATGAAATTAGGTGTTTTCTGGGTGAGGGGGATAAAGGGGAATGTAAAAATATGCTCATTTTGTATAGTGCGCTCCTTATTTTGCGATTCCATTCTTAAATATTGTTCTCTCTTTTTCAAACGTAATTTTTTTTCGGCCGTTGTCCCATGCGTGTTTGAAAATCGTCTTTGGCCTTCAGCCTCCTGACGATTCCTTCGGTGATCCTTCTCTCAGCAGATCTGACACGGGTGTTCTGAGTGAAGCGTGCTCTTTAGCAAGCTGTGCCGTTTTAACCGGATTCATATTATCTATCGATTCGGTAGTCGTTTTGAGTGCCTCGGGCAGTCCTGTTTTCAATTCGGTGTTCAACGATATACCATCTTGATCTATTCGCAAAGGTGCTTTAAACGGAGGAAGATCAATGTGCTTGCTCCTCAAAAACCCTGAAACATATGACCAATAAAAATTTCTTAAAATATTTGATTTTTGATTTAGTCAAATAATATAACTAAAAATAGTATTTGTTTCCTTATAAACTTTTATATTATGAGTTTTTTAATTAATGAATGAAAGAGAAATAATAAAAATGATTTTTTTTTTGTCAATTTGTTAGTACAGATCAATTTCTTGATGTTAGAGTCATAATTTCTTTTGTAAAATTTATAGTGAATTTATTTTTATAATATTTGTGTATTTCTGACCCTTTTCTAGTACAGGGGCTTTTTTTGCAGGTTTTTTTTCTAGAGTTCCCTTTTTCCGATCTGGTTTTTTGGTCGAGATGGGCAAGCTGGATGGAGTGACCTGGGTCGTCCTGATTGACTCCCTTTCGAAATATAGCGTCTCGGAAGTGGAATTGAATCCCAGCTCTCGTGTGATGTCCTCGATGCTTCCAAATTCTCCTTCTGTCGTCGATAGATTTTCATGCAGGTCGCTGAATACTATGATATCGGTGAAGTCGTCCACTCCACTTTGCCTCTCGTCATCATCGCTCACTTGAACTGAAGTCATGGGCATTCTTGTCGTCGTCCCGATGTCTTTGCAGTCCTGTCCACAAGGGCATATGTTTGAGAAATCAGAACTCATTCCGTCGAATTCACCTGGAAAATTTTGTTTGTCAATGAAAGAACGGAAAGTTTTTTAAATTATTTCTTCTGTGTGTCTCACCAGCTCGTGTCGAGCCGAACCAAGTAATTAGATCATCCTCAGAGGTAGCAGCGAGTAAAGGAGAACCCTTTCTCGTGTGAAAAAACAACTCTGATACCAAATCTGCCCTTCCTGCAGGATAGACCCGGGCAAAGGCGGGCCTCATTCTGCTCACTATATATTCACTCTTTGCAGAAAATTCAATACACACAGCACAAGATGAACTGACCTATTTACAAAAATTATTTAATAAATAAATGCTACATCATAATAAAAATTCAGACAGAATTAATTAACTCACATTTGAAACGACAAACCAAACTCTATCACCTCTAGATCCATAATCCATATCTAGTTTATTGGGCACAACTGAAGACAGTTCAAATCCAGAAAATAAATGTATTTCGAGTCTTATCACACCTGAAGGCTCTCCTCCCTTCCACCTAAAATGGAGAGAAATATATTAGCGTAACATGGCTGTAAAGTTTTGTAATATTATGTCCATTGTAATTTATCGCAGCATTACGCTACCCTGCTGTACCATTAAATATACTGACCGTAGGAGGGAAAATTTTCAAGTAGGTATCTAAAGTCAGTATGGTTTGTGTATTGTAGATTTTACACTTTTTTAATTAATCAGTTAAAGCCAACCAATAATTTAAAAGGATTTGACCTAATATACCTAAAGCAAGTCTTTAAGTTGAGGACGGGGAGTTTCCCTTCAAGCTCTTGGATTGAATTTCTCCTGGGCAATATCTCCTCAGTGACTCCTGCCCAAAGGTCCAATAGAGAATTACTCCTGCTAGGATAATATGTGGCATAGCTCATCCTTCCCTTTAAGGGGTAAAAAACAGGTTAAACACAATATAAAAAACAAGACAGGTATACGATCCGTACTTGAACTGTGGCACAACCACCACCGGTCGCATAGACGAAAACTTTTGTCGGCAGAGAAGGCAAGTTGAGAATCTGTGGAGGAGTGTCAGGTCGCAGTTCCAAAGTGTCTGTAAGCTCCATTCCAGAAGTGGCAAGCGATACGGTCAACCACCGGTTTTCATCTAGGGCGAGTTTGGCAAATTCCGAAAAAGCCTTGACGGCTGTTGATATCAACTGTTTGGAAAATTATATATGAGACTTTTTTTGAGTATATTTTTCAAGGGGTAATGCAAGTTTAATTACTTCAGTATGGGTGTCCAGTATGTTGGAGCGGTAAAATAAGTATCTTGCCACAGGTTCGGCCGACTTGAGGTCTTTCAAATGCGTGTAGGTCATTAATGCGTACAATGAAGCTTTGAATTCTTTTAAATGCGCTGAAAAATAATAGGTTGTTTTATGCATAATTTCACATTATTGATGTGATATTTATTATACACATTTTTCTTCTTTTGTCAAAAGACAAAGATTAAAAAAACGTAAATTTAGTGTTGAACTTTGTGGTAATAATTGCTGAATGCCTCATCTGTTTACTTTAAATATTTTATCGGGTTGTCCGGAAAATAATGCAGGATTTTAAGTTTTCATTAAAAAAAATCTATATAAAATATTCTGTTTACGTTTACAGGATTACTCATTTGTATGAATGTCAACACTTATTAATCCTCTTCCAAATGATATTGTTTGTTTACCTCTGTAGCATTCCGCTACTTGGAAATAATTCAGTCATCCTTATAATGTCAAAGCGAGAATTTCGTACGATTTTCTTTTACGAGTTTAAACTCGGCCGAAGCGGAGCCCAAACGGCTAGAAACATTAACCAAGTCTGGGGCGAGGGTTGTGTTAATGAGTGCACTGTGCAAAGGTGGTTTAAAAAATTTCGGGAGGGAGATTTCAGCCTTGAAGATGAAGAAGGTCGTGGAAGGCCTTCCTCTCTTAATGATGATGTTCTGCGATCAGTGGTGGAAGAAAACCCCAAAACAACTGTTCGAGAACTTGCAGAGCAACTCAAAGTCAGTAAAACGACCGTCGCTGACCACCTCAAGGCGATTGGAAAAGTGAAAAAACTCGAAAATTGGGTTCCACACTCATTAAACGATCGCCAAAAAAATCAGCGCTTTGATGTTTGTGCATCACTTCTTTGTCGAAACAAAAATGACCCATTTCTGGCCAGAATTGTTACATGTGACGAAAAGTGGATTCTCTACGATAACACTAGACGTTCTGGACAGTGGCTCGACAAAGGAGAAGCTCCAATACATTTTCCAAAGCCCCCAACTCATCAAAAAAAGGTAATGGTTACGGTATGGTGGGCTTCATTTGGTTTAATACACTACAGCTTCTTAAATCCTGGCGAAACCATCAATGCTGAATCATACTGTAACCAAATTAATACCATGCATCAGAAATTGGCAGTAATGAAGCCCTCTTTGGTCAATCGGAAAGGGCCCATTTTGTTGCATGACAACGCTCGACCACATGTGTCACGTGTAACGTCACAAAAATTATTGGAGCTTGGCTATGAAACTTTGCCTCACCCACCCTACTCTCCGGACCTCTCGCCTACTGACTACCATTTTTTTAGACACCTGGACCACTACTTACAACACATAATATTCAAAAATCAAACGGAACTGGAAAATGCATTTATTGACTTTATCAATTCTAAAAATTCTGAATTCTACTCAGACGGAATTAATAAGTTACCAACACGTTGGGAGAAATGTATTGAGAGTATGGGAAATTATTTTGATTAAGGAACATTGCTTTAAAGTAACTAGTTTCTTTTTTTTTGTTTAATACCAAAATCCTGCATTATTTTCCGGACAACCCAATACTTTTAGTTCAATAAGTATATTAGACAATTATTTAATGTATAACTATCATAAAAAATGATAATTACACCTTTTAAAGTGTAACTTTTTAATTAAAAAAAAGGAAATAGATCGATTGGTTTAAAAATAGCAAAGAATATTTATTTAACAAACATGTAACAGGTTGTCTCTTTTGTTCGACTCCTTCTTCGTAAAGCCAGTCTGAATTGTCTCTCTGCCTGGGCCAACCAAATTCGCCTTCTTCGTTTGTGGACGCGTTCTTCAGCAGATCCAATGCCAGATGTGCTTTTGGGCTTCTCGCTTCGACCAGCGCAAGACAAAGGGAGGCCAGAGTGACACCATCTACCATCATGTCTGCACCGACTTGATTTTCCAAGTATTCCCTGGCCCTCGTCACAGCATCGATGTCTTTCTTTAATCAAAATTTCAAATTGATTCATGGTATCAATCACAATTTATTTTTTCTTATTAAGTTACTTGGTCTTCGATTCCGACGGCAAGAAGGGCGTTCAGCGTTTGAGCAGTGGTTGCGATGGTTTTGGCCGGCTCACCTACACTCGTCTGATTATCCGGCTCGATGTCGATGAAATGTGGTTTAAAGCTTCCGTCTTGGCTTTGCTTTGACTCAATCCAAGATTTAAGGTTGGAAATCAAATCTGAATCCACTCTCACTACGGTCTGGGCTCGGTTCAATAGATCCAAAACTTCAACAGAACTCCTGTAAATTTCAATGCCATATTTATTACAGTTATACTTTAATTAGTAGGTTTTCTCTCGTACCATTGACTTGTCATGCTCGAATGATCGCTAAAAGAGCTGTCGTTCATTTTGAAAAGGAGAAGATTTTGAATTTTAGAATAAATTTTATCAGCTCTTTGCTTCTGCTCCGGCGTATCTGACTGGTTTAGGAAATGCTGGTGTTCTGTTAACAGCGGAGCTATCATTGACACTGTTGTTGCCAAACTGGAAAAAAGTGGAAAAAAGTAATGGTTTAGGTAGTGTTCAAAAAAATATATATTAAAAAAATTATACCTGCTGAATTCAGAAAGAGACGGCCTTGGGTCTGACACAACATAAGGAAGGTGAAGTCCTCCCGCTACGAGCAATGTCCCAGTTTCAGATCCGGGCAAAACAGACCTCGGGATGTCGAGATGAATCACTTGTGAAAATCCTGCTTCGTCGTTGAAATTCCAAATTCTGAAGAAAATTTTTTTTAGAACAAAGTTAGAAATTATAACACGCGATTACGCACCTGACATCCGCCGGCTGGCCCCAAGAAGTCGCAAAACCGATGTAATTCACTTTCATCTTTTTTTCCAGTTTCCATTTTAGTTTGGCCCTCTCGTGGATCCCCGAACCGACGCCGAACGAGAGTGCTCCTCTGTCCCAACTCAGCCAGAATGTCCTGGACTCGTCGTGCGATAAAATTTGTGGGGTGGACGCAGTTACCAGACGGACGGAATAGCCTAATAAAAAAGTTTTATTACTAGTTGAGGGTATTTGTGACGCTGTTTTCTTGTGTTACCGTGTTTGCCTCTTCCGATCCAAGAGACCGTGTTATCCAGATCGCCGATGACCGTTTGGTACATCCTCTGCGACACATCTTGGATTTCCGAAATGGCGACATGCACTCCCATGCCCGCTCGCACCTCAAAAATAACACCTTCGCGGTTCCTGGGCGCTGGTATGAACTGATAACTGAATTTCTCCGGCGTGGATATGACCATTTGCTCTAACAGGCGTAACGTTCACCGATAAGACTTAAATTCTACTCAATTTGTTTAAATTATTTACCGTTTGCGCAGAAATAAGCACTTTCGATGTGTGTCTTGACTAATCCTTCTGGATTAATCAATATTCCTCTCTGCTTGACGACCGTTCCCACGAGAGAATGGTTTGATGCTAAGCCCGAGCTGACAGTCTGACACGTTTCGCTGTGGTACGCGGAGACTTCAACTGTAATGAAATTAAGTTTAGATCAAGAGATAAACCTGCAATTCGTAAAAAAGTTACCTGTCATATTCTTTTTGCCGGATGTAGTAGCGACAATCCTAACGACCAAAGAAGTCGCGCCGTGTGGGCCGAGTCGAAGTTTCTCAGCGACGAAAGGCTGACTGCTTCCTAAGAAATGAGCACCTTCTCCTACGGTCAGCAAGGCGTTCACCTAACGAAGCCAAAATGAATTTTAAAAAGCATAAAGTTAATTCATAATGTAGTCAAAATCTTAAATATATCAAGCATAAGAATTGATTATACTGCAAAAACAGGACACAAATCACCATAATTACGACAAACTTATATTAAGTCGGGAGTAAATGAACTCATATTATGAAATTACTGCTTTTGGGGCTTAGTTCCTTAACTTTAGACGCGCAAACTGCTATAATTTCTAATATTAAACAATTTTAATACATCATCTGTTACGTCATTTCTATAAATTTCGACTCTACTTTCCACAGAAAAAATGTCAGCCTGATTAATATTTTCATAATTAAGTGTTCACATTTATAATATAAATGTTATGGTTTTGATTTTATACTGATGATAGATTAAAGTTAAAAAGTTTGGATTATTTTCATTTTATTTCTGTGATCGATTCCAGATAAGTTTTTGAAAGACTTTTAGTCTAACATACACTTGTTTATTCATTAAAATCAATCTAATCAATTGAAAAGGAATTCACCTCTAAATATGAGAGTTTCACTTTCACGTCCTAAACTTTAGAGTTTAGTTTTATCCCAAGACAGACATTTTCAACTGAGTTTAGCGCAAATTTGAGATAGATACCACTTACCAAAATTTTTTTGAAATTGACCAGTTTCGACATAAATATTAAAAACACTTGGGTTCAACCAACTCTTATACATTCTTACAAGATACATGTTAAAATTGTTGGTGGTTGTTGGTCTACGAGTCGGTGAAAACATAGGGATAGGGATAAAAGAGGCGGCCACAAAGCCTACTGCACCTCGACCTGAATAGATCTATTGTGCTCCCCTGTTATAACTCACTGGCCAGCTGCAGGTTATTAACTACCCTCCACAGCTTTGCCAGCGGTTCCTTGTGTAGGACCTTCTTGTGGTTTCTTGTCCTAGTTGCAAGAACCTGCACCTACATAACCTTCACAGAAACATAAAATGTGTTCTGCGGTCTCCTCCTCTTCCTGGCAGTATCTGCACAGTGTTTCATCTGTTTGTACTCCTATCCAGTGCATGTGCTTTCTTATGTGGCAGTGACCCGTCAGGAGTCCAACCAGAAAATCCTGATTCCGTTGCGGTTTTGGAACCGTCAAAATACCAATAGGAATTTGCCTTCCAAAGTTCCTTTGGCCCATTCGTACCGTTCTGGTATTAGTACTTTGTATTTCTTGGTAAAGTTGAACTTTGGAGTAGAGGCATGAATTGGTATACCTAGAGTGGCATCTCCTCCCTCAGTTTCCTTTGTTTATTTACATGGCCTATCATAGCAGATGGTTGTCCATTTATGAGCCTGTGGGCTGCTGCTCTGGCTTCTCCTTGGATTAAAATGTGAAATGGTGGGAGGTTTAACAAAACTTCCAGGGCCGCAGTTGGCGTTGTGCTCATGGCACCAGTGACACTGAGACAAGCTTGTCTTTGGGTGTCACATAATAGCCTTATTGCTCTGACCTGAAGAGTTTTGGTCCATCACACCACCGACCCATATGTCAACATTCCTGGTCTTAGGACACAGGTGTACAGCCTAGGGTTAGACCCCAGTTCTTGGCGCAGAACCTCCTCCACCTCCCCCAGGCAATTTGCTCTTTCGGTAGTTTTAGTTAGATGTGAATTCCACTTGAGCCACTGATATAGTGTAATCCCTAGATATTTGGCCTCCTTGGAAAATGGAATCAGAGTCCCGTTTAGGCTTGGAGTTTTTAAGCTTCCTGCTGTCCTCTTCCTTGCAAATGGAATAATTATGATTTTGTGGGGGTTGATAGATAACTCTTCCTTTTTGCACCACCTGTCAACCAGATTGAGGCCTCTCTAACTTTAGGCCGCGTAAAACCATAAAACTGATCGACACTTGATCATTGGGTTCTGTTTCGGGTTCAGGTCATCTTCAGTGATAAACTGTCTGTTTCATTGTTAGTAGTTTCTGTTGATTATTTTTTTTATTGTCTGTGTAAAAGCTAGTATTTAGTTTATTTATGTTAGGTTCTTGGTTTTTTGTTACTTTTCATTTCTATATCATCTTCCTTAGAACGTCTAGCTTTTCTGTTTTGTAGTGTTTTAGTGTGAAAGTGTATGAAACAAAACGGTGTTTAAGGACCTACACTGACTGCTGACAACGAAACAGACCGTTACTCACTCATTGAAGATGTCGTGAAAACTCGGTAGAGTAGACAGACCCAGTAGAGAGATCAAGTGTCGATCAATTAAACAATTTTTATATCGTCTTTTGAAGTATCTATAGTTTGATTTTGATGACAGTAGAATAAAATAACAAAAATAATGTTGTTTGCGTTGACTTCACATTTTTTTTGTATCTATGCACCAATATTTGTAGAGTTGCATGGTTTGTGGTTTTTTTTATCATTGCTTTTAAGGGGGTAGCACTTGTTTGCAAAAGAACAGCTGGCTATTTTCCTTTTTATTGTTTTTTTTCACTTCTAATTTATGGATTTTAATTTTGATACAAATTTATTTTTCACGAGATATATTTAAGTATCAAACTTCAAAATTTGATCGTATTTTGAGCAATTTTCATAGTTGTTTAGTTGTTGAAAGAGAGGTCAAAAAGTTGTTATTTTGCGGTAAATTTTTATTTATCTACGCTTTACTAGCCTCTACCTCATGGCCTCGTCAATTGTGAATAAAATAACACAAAAACACATAAAAACAGAACCAAGATAAAACATTAGTCTGTTTAGGATGCAAACTTCCCCACATTTCTCGATATTCCGCGAGCAAATTAGTGATGAGCTCCTCCATTCACGCTAATAAATGGCATTTACACACTATAATTTATTCACACTACTCCACATTATTCGATATTCCTCTCCTGGCGGGACCCAGCTACGTAAATCTGATGCAGGGATAATGTCATAGACCCCAACTATGTTTTTGTGAAAATATTATTTTATATTAATTTTGAAAATACTGAAATGCATTTACATTTCTGTATACATTTTCGTAGTGTAATTGATTTGAGATAGTTTACAGATAAATGTCTGGAAGTTTAATCAAAATAGAATTTATGAATATATAATATATTAATTTTTAAGGTTTATACAAATAATAAATGTGTGGTGATTAGTGAAGTTTCTGGCTCTCTTCTCCTCAAAGAAGCCGACGCCTTATACAAAAATGTCTTTTCTACACTGACTTCCTTCCCCACCCCTTCAAAATCCAACATATATAAACATAAAACAGCAAAATTTCACTAGCACTCTCAACACGACACGCAAGAATGGCACAATTACACAGAAGACAAACACTTTGAGTGAGTAGAAATACTTTGATTGAATATAAAAAATATATTTTGCATTGTATAAATTTACTTTTCCACATCCTAAGTGTATTTGTTAAATGTAAACAATGTTTGTAAATCCCAGGCCCTGAAGATGATCTCAATAAAGATCGAAACGTTGGCACGATAAAGAAAATGTTTTTCTGAAACCTACATCACACCAGACCGCATCTCACTATTTCTGAATAATTACAAATAATAAAATGCGAGGGGTATTTTTTGACCTGGAATTAGGAGGGTTAAGCACTTATAAAGCTCGATATCTCATCGGACTAGTTTCATTCTGTGCAAAAATGATTGTTTTTTAAACAAAAATTGAAAACCAAAAACAATTGCTACCCTTTAAATCAGTAATTTAATAAATGTATCAATCTATTTCATCACATGTTAGGGATTAGTTTTAATAAAGAAACAATTTTTGAATATATTTGGTTCCAGGCGAAACACTTTTCGCCGTTAATTTAACTAGTTATGTTTCTATTTGTACAGAGAGACTTGCAAATATCAGTTTTAATTTCTGGGAAACTTACGTCCACGCAGGAATTCAAGTTGTTTCCGATCTTGATGTCCACTTCAAGACTCTCGCCGACTCTCAGGGCGCCGGGAAGCTTGAAATCCACTTCGAGAGGCCTGAAAACTTGGATGGGGATCGGCGACGAAAACCTGAGCCCGACCACGGGAGAAACCGAAAGGGCGAACATCGACCACTTTCCAGGTTCGGGCGGAGAAGGGACTCGTACTCCTCTCGCTTCTATCTCGGCACTGTCAATATCACACAAATTACTCATTTTAAAGAAGAATGGAAATATAATACAACAATATTCCTTGTTTTTAGCAGGTAAATACATACACAGAAAAGCTTTTATTTACAAACATGAACATAATAGATTTATGAGGGGATGATGGTGGAATAGCATTCCCATCGTCCCTCGTACTCTTCTACTGCATAGAATGAATGCAATGTTGCATAAAGGTGTGAATGTATTTATTTGTGTGAGTGCGTATTGAGTGTGTTGCATTTCGTGCTCTGGGGTGATATGACCATGATGTCGGATGCCCCTTTAAAAAAAAATTATAATTAAACAAAAGTGAATGACTTTTAATTAATTATCATGTTTATTTGTAGGCGATGCCTATTTTATAGCAATAATTACATGAAAGACAAAGAACAGTTAAAATATGAAAAACATTGAAATATTAAACATTGATGATAATGAAATAATAATAATAATAACATAGAGTATAATTTAGATATCAATATTTGAGTACAAAATAATATTTGATATTTGACTGCTAAATAAAAACTATTTTAAACAAGATTAATTAATTATACATACATTTATATACACAACAATCAAAACACACACACACACAGAGAGAGAGAGAGAGAGAGAGAGAGAGAGAGAGAGAGAGAGAGAGAGTGAGAGATAAACTGTCCACAAAAAAACTGACTACCTGATTTTTGTACGAAAAATGGATAACTTTGAAAATGCACATTTTCTCAGCCTTTTAAGTTACAGACTTGAGCTAGGTCTCGTTTTTAGAAAATTTTACGTTGAACATAATGATATTTTTAAAAAAAAGTTTTCCTAGCTTCATTCATTCACCTGTAAATTCAAAAATTCGGGGGGATAGTTAATTTTTGGACTTTTTACAAAACTTCAAATTGAGATGTACTGTCAGGAAATCGTTCTACGGCAATCGATAGGAAATTTGAATAAACTTTCAATTATGCAGTTTTTTTTATGGTAATGGCATGGATCTGAAATGTCACACTGATAAAAGAGCAGTTGATCTCAATTCATTTTTTGCTTATTGAGCCACCGCAGAGAAAAAAGATTTCTTGAAATCGAAGAACTGTTTATTTAAACAAGTACATTCTTAAAGTTAAAATGAGAAAAGAGTATGTGTTGCATAAACATTTTTTTAATACTTTTATACATATTTTCAGTTATTTCAAACTGTACCATTAGAAAATTCCTAAGTTTACAACATTAAATAGGTGATATAAAATAAAAACAACATAATAAAACAATTAAGGTTTTTAGTTGAGATAAAAAAGTCAATGGCACGAGCGGGATTCGAACCAACGATCTTCGGCTTGATACGCCGCTGCTCTACCACTTGAGCNCTCAAGTGGTAGAGCAGCGGCGTATCAAGCCGAAGATCGTGGGTTCGAATCCCGCTCGTGCCATTGACTTTTTCATCTCAACTAAAAACCTTAATTAATTGTAAAATATTAATTGATCAAGCGGACCACGAAATGAGTGAATTTAATAAAACAATATTAATTTTTCCACTCTTCTTGTCGATAACAATCGCTCATTCTCTGATTGTTCGATATTCAAAATATAATTTAGTTTTATTTGTATCCGATACGCTTATCTATCATGACGCTTAACAATTCGTAAACACCACATTAAAAAAACCATAAGGATAAATAAACTATAAAAGCGGTATACACAGAAAACACCAATTACACGGTAAATCAAATCCTGCCCACTGTTCATAAGCCCTCAGGATGTTTATAAAATAAATAAAAGACCGGCAAGTAGTTGATTACTTTGTCTGCCCATTTGACCGTAAACCCGTTTTCTGAAAATTAACAACTTGGGATAGTAAAATCTATAGCATTTATCAACAATTGTTGTTAGATAATCAAATAAATATGTTTAATAGATAGTTGTTAATATTATCCAAAAAAATTAGAATAATTTAATTGTTAGAGTAATTGCATTTCTCTTCTGGTGAATTGGTTTACCATCAATATATGTATGTCAATGTCCGATCAAATAGTATCAATAATGAGAAATCCTTGCGTGTTTAATCACAAACAAACAGGGAAAATTTGTGTATTCAGATCAATAATGATCAAACTGACGTACATGTATTTATGGCACGATTGACCAAATGCTAAACCCGCACAACGGATAGTTGCACTGGTTTAAACAATTTAAAGCGCCGCGCCCCATTTTTAATACTGTGTAAATCTGTCTGCATTACAGGCTTGTAGTACACTGTGGACTATTGTTTATATTTTCTTTAAATTGATGGCTATTATTGATTACATTATTATGATAAATAGGAAGGTGTATTGGCTGAACGGTATAGGTTAACCAGGTGGAGGCAATATTCCTCAATTTATTAGATAATGGACTTTGCTTGATATCGTGCGCTGTCAATTTCATCACTTCATCTAAATCTACTTCATATAAATACTTTAAACCGTAGGTTTCATTATTTTAAATACTGACTTCTTACTTATCGGCGTTTTAAAATATTAGTAATAATTTCAAAGTCATGATGATATGTTAGTAGAAAGCTCGACAAACGAACCGACTGTTTTTTTCTCTCTAATGGATCCCATAAAAGCAGCTCTCTGAGAGGCACAACAATAATTCAAAATGGATAGGGATACTAAGAAATAAAAAATACAACTAAAATGAATTACATTACTCGTTGAAAATTGCTCGTTGAAAATTCGATTCAAGATAATTAACACCAAGATAGATTTTTTAACAGATGAAGAAGAATAAATAATTTCTGTTTAAAAACAGGATATATCAAGATAGGCCTGGCGATCACCTTCCAACAACTACTTATTAGCTCTGTAGTTCTACACTCAGTCAATGATTTATGTTTGATGAGTGAAGAGTGCGTAAGGGAGGGAGAGAGTGATATGTATATATATATATATATATATATATATATATATATATATATNAGAGAGAGAGAGAGAGAGAGAGAGAGAGAGAGAGAGAGAGAGAGAGAGAGAGAGAGAGAGAGAGAGATTGAGAGAGAGAGTGAGAGAGAGATTGTAAAATTTCCATTGGCAATACAAACTTCAGTGCTTTTTTACTCGCTTATCCTCTTGCCATTCATTATTCAGTTTTAAGGGCCATCAAAACAACAGGTTTTGGAAGGCTGGGAGTCTCACGAGGCACCCAAATCACCAATACGATCATTTTATTAAAATGCCAGCAATCCAGAAGAGCAATCCAACATCTTCTAAAATTAAAAACCTTTTCGCTGATGATGGCCCTTAACAATCCAGATAGGTGTGAAGATGACAAGAGATCGATACAGTCAGTGCTGAACGTAAATGGAGGATGATCCTTCAAAAACATGTAGTAACTTCTAATAGAGATTATAAATGATGGGGTGAGTGTGGAGTTCAATTCTTTTTAAAAAAGATGGTTCCTACTCACATTAAGTTGTTTCGCAACAATCCGGATTTCGAGCCCTTTAGCTCTTCTGTTGACTTCTGCAATTCATGTTGAGAGACGTGTTTGTGGAAACCCTTCAACCTGATGATGAGCTAAAGGGCTCGAAATCCGGATTGTTGCGAAACAACTTAATGTGAGTAGGAACCATCTTTTTTAAAAAGGATTGTAGTAACTTCTATGCATTTCTTTGGCCCAAAGTCTTTGCATATGCATGATAATGCTCGGCCACTTAAGGTAACGTGTGTGTTTCTAAATACCTGAACACTACATATATCTATATCCGTTCTTTTAATCTTTTTTGAAGTAGTTTCTTAAGCATTTTGCATCTAAGGTCAATTCGTTTAGATCGTGTAGGTGTGTGGATTCGACGTAAGATATCGTAAACTATTTGCTGGAGTTTCGTATAAGTAAACAGTTGGAAGAGTTTTACGATTAAGAGGGGAAACTATTAATTAATCTTTATGTAAGGTATTGGCTGAAATGAAAAAGTTAGTTTCACGGGCCAAGGTACAATAAGCCAGAAGGCTGCAGTGCCTGGGGAATACAAACCCCGCTTCCTAGTATGCTTTCTAGTGTCACGAGCGGGATTCGAACCCACGACCTTCGGCTCAATACCCCGCTGCTCTAACTACTTGAGCTATCGTGACTTCGATCCACTCGGACACCAACTCCCCATCTCAACCTACCTTTCGAATTTTCCTTCCTTTTTGTTTTTCTTTTTTTTCAAACTTTTTCATTTCAATCAATACCTTACATAAAGATTAATTAATTGAAAGAAGTTATTCGGTCAATCGAACAACGGAATGGATTTAATAAGTGGAAACTATGTTGATTCTTCATTGTTTACCTTGATTCTCCACTGTCAAAACCAGGGTACAAGAGATCAAGATGGGATTAGAGGTTGCAGATTGTAACAGGATCGATGTTTGGGAAGAGGATTGCTGTGTCATCGGCGTACGCGAAGATTAAGGCGTCGGAATGTAATGGGAGATCAGCTGTAAAGAAGGAGTAAAGTAAGGGAGCAAACGTTCTTCCCGGGGGGACGCCGATTAAAATGGGGACAATAGAAAAGGAAGAGGTATCTTGTGTTACGTGGAAGTATCGTTTTGTTAGGAAGGATTTGAGGATAAGGATACTTTGTGGAAGGATGCCCTTTATCTTCCACATCATGCCCTCATGCCAACATGATCAAAGGTCTGGGATATGTCAAGGAAAACACCTGGCAGTAGAAATGCTAAAGGTGTTCACTATTGTAGCAGCGAAACAACACACCCCAGGAACAAAAGGTTTTCTGACTATGCCAACAAGAATGGAAGAAATCATAAAAAAACAGATGGGAACAACAATTATTATGAAAAGATATTTTACGATGTACAAAGATTGATTAGAGTGTTAAGTGTTTAGCGGCATTTCATATGATAAATTATTATTATTATTATTGGATAGTTTATAATGTTTAAAGTTTGGCAATACAACTAATCGAAATTAGAGATTGTGATGATCATCACTTATATACTCTAGGAAACGTATTTAATAATTATTCAGAAATCGTGAGATGCGGTCTGGTGTGATTAGGTTTCAGAAAAACGTACTGAGTTTACATGCATCTGTTCTGTAATTGATGCTGTGTTATCTCTGTTGATGTAAATACAGCATGAATTACACAACAGATACATATAAACTCGGTCGCAGCTACGCCAATATCATTAATCAAAATTCAATATAGATAACATACATATATCATCACATCACATTCCACATCAAACATTTTTCACATAGCTAATTTTTGAACAATTTAGCTTTCCTTTTCCTATTTATCCTCTTCTATATAACCCTAAAAGGATAATCTTGCCGAACCATTATCAACACATTGTTTCCCTTCGTCGGCTCTTTTCACCTCAAAAATCCGACGCCTTATACAAAAATGTCTTTTCTATACCGACTCCTTCCCCACCCCTTCAAAATCCAACATATATAAACATAAAACAGCAAAATTTCACTAGCACTCTCAACACGACACGCAAGAATGGCACAATTACACAGAAGACAAACACTTTGAGTGAGTAGAAATACTTTGATTGAATATAAAAAATATATTTTGCATTGTATAAATTTACTTTTCCACATCCTAAGTGTATTTGTTAAATGTAAACAATGTTTGTAAATCCCAGGCCCTGAAGATGATCTCAATAAAGATCGAAACGTTGGCACGATAAGAAAATGTTTTTCTGAAACGTACATCACACCAGACCGCATCTCACGATTTCTGAATAATTATCGATTAACGGTCACTAATCACCACAGACTTATTTAATAATATAAATTGTTTAGAATAAAATCATACGGTAGAAAGAATATTAAATTGTTGGAGTTATTGTATAAACAACATACGTGTAATTGAAGCATTTCCAGAGCCAGAGCTGGTCCAGCCCCGAGTCCGACATGACGCTGTGGTGCGGAAGAGTTTTGTTACTTCTCAGCGTCATTTTGTTAGTGGTGTTTCCCTCTCCGAGGCAGCTTCTCTGGTAGAATCCGACGCCGGCTTCGGTAAAGTCCAACTCCAAGCCTTCGGATCTGTGCGACGGAAAGCAACGCAAAGTTTAAAGAGGTTCAAAAATGAAAAAAAAGGAAAAAGATCGAGAAGAACGCTCACATTTTTTGCGTGTTCAAATCACCGCCGCGACCGCCCACCAGACAAAAGAGTGACTGCAAGTCGGCCAAAACTTGGACGTCCATTTCTTCGGCTGGAAACCAAAACTTTTTCTGCTCCAGATTTAGTGTTATCTGAAATGATTAATTTGTCAAATACTTGGTAGTCTATTTATTTATGTGGCGTGGGTGTGTTATTATTTTATATTTTATTCAGGTTGTAAATGTAACATGTTTGTTGTTAATATTAATCAACTGAGGTGTTCCCTGGTTCGCGGAAAATTTTCTTTAAAAGAGGTTTTCCTCTCAAGTGATAGCGGAGGACTTCATTTCGTTTTTCATAGTTGGACAAAGCCATGGCTATATCCACGTTATTTACAACAATTTGAAGTCTTGAAATGATTGTGGGGAAGAATTTCTTTGTGCTGGAACAAATTGACTTTTGTATTGTGCTCACATTTCATTCAATGCAATGTAGTTGTCATAGTAAATATTTTTTTAAACGTATTTAATTATTTGTTTACTTTTTGGTATTTATCACATTACGCACCGATATTTATCTAGTTGTTAACACAAATTTATGGCAATTTACGATTTACACCACTACTTATGCGAACCCTAGGAAAATTCTGGGGATTAAAACCGGAAATGGCCTAATGGCTATACACGGTAGTAATAAAACCCAAAATAATCTATGGATCATTAATCTGGTGTCCAAAGCTCAACAAAAAGTAGCTACTCAAACATTAAGCAGCATACAAAGACTAGCAAACCTGTGTATCACATGGGCAATGAGGACAACCCCTACAAGTGCGCTAGAAACTCTGCTAAACTTGCCTCCACTGGAAATATTCACTCAAGGGGAGGCTAGGAAAAATTCATTTAGGTTTCAAAAACAATTAAACTGGATAGGAACTAAACAATTCGGGCGTACAACCATAATCAGACATAACAAAACAGAATAACAAAATCAGACACCCGTTCTTTGAAATGGGGACTGACTATATCATCACGGAAACAATCTTCACAACATCGTACGAAGACTCAACGGACTATAAAGGAGAGGAAGAACACAGGAGAGCATCAGACACAATACACAGATGGCTCCAAAACAAACGAAGGAAACGGTCGGGCGTTTACTGTACAAGCCCAAAACACGAGCAATCAAACTCATTAGGGAAGTACACTTCGGTCTTTCAAGCGGAAATACATGCTATCAATGCTTATGCCCTGGGAAATCTTAAAAGATGTTACACTGACAAAAAAAATCCTCATAAGATCTGATAGCCAAGCAGCCATTAAAGCATTAGCATGTAATAGACCTACATCAAAATTAGTCAGTGAATACATCCAAAACTTCCAAAACCTGGGGAAACACAACAACCTGATGATATCTTGGGTGCCAGGGCACAGAGGAATTTTGGGTAAGAGAAAGCAGACATACTGGCCAGAGGAGGATCTGCAAGATAGAATCCTCCTTTGCAGCATGGATCTAAACAAAACAAAATAAGTGGATAAACTCTAGCGGCGCTAGACACAGTAAACTTCTCATGAAACAACCCTCACCAAGACTGGCAAAAAAATGGCTGGAGAAAAATACACTAACTACAATGGCTAGCATCAAAAGCACCCAAGATATTGAGCTAACTTCCACGCAAATACAAGAAGCTATAATAAACTCATATCATGAAGCCTGCCCACAAACCACCTACAACAACAAGAAAAAAGTTTGCTGGGGAATGATAACCTGGCGGCACTAAGAAAGAAAACTCGCAAACTTTGGAATAAAGCGAAAAAACGGAGACTACTGAAGAGTACAGTAAAACCCTAACAGAATACAATAGGGAGACAAAGAAGGCTAAACAAGAATCGTGGAGGAAATATTGCAAGGAAATCGAAAACACCACTCAGGCAAGTAGACTCCGCAAAATCCTCGCCAAAGACTCTATAAACCCCATCGGAACACTAAAAAAACCAGATGGAAAACACACACAAACCGGAAAGGAAACATTAGAAATCCTAATAAGAACATACTTTCCGGAATCCAAAACTATTGCCAACCTGGAGATAAAGGAGAGCGCTGAACCCGCCAAAGGCCAAAAAGCTAGAAGGGAAGATTGGCAAATAGCCAAAACAGTAATCACTTATGATAAGATTGAATGGGCTATAGATAACTTTAGCCCATTCAAATCTCCAGGAACAGACGGGATATACCCAGTACTACTACAAAAGGGAAAAAGTATAGTAATCCCCCTACTTGTAAAAATATACAGAAGCTGCCTAGCAATGGGATACATCCCAAGCATATGATAAAGTAGTTTTCATTCCTAAAGTTGCTCGGAACAACTACACAGACGGAAAATCGTATAGACCGATTAGTCTAACATCCTTTTTACTCAAAACACTTGAAAGGCTAGTTGAAAAACATATAAGGGGCAGTTCTTTGAAAGAAAAACTCCTTCGTAAATATCAACATGCCTATCAGAAAGGAAAATCGTGTGAATCAGCACTACATCAACTAACGATACAAATAGACGATTCACTGAACAACCAAGAAATAGCATTGGGAACCTTCTTAGACATTGAAGGAGCATTTGACAGCACTCCTTTCGAAGCAATGGTTACATCACGCAAACAGCGAGGAACAGACGAAACCTGCTGTAGATGGATAGAATCAATGCTAAAAAGCAGAAAAGTGTAGGTCTCCATGTTCCTCGAAAAAGTAGAAGTAGTGGTGGCGAGGGGGTGTCCGCAGGGAGGAATACTCTCGCCTCTGCTGTGGAATGTGGTAGTGGCCAACCTCATATGCAAACTAAATGAAAGTGAGTTTACACCCAAGGCTATGCAGATGACATTGTCATACTAGTCAGGGGAAAATTCGATTCAACATTAAAAGAGCTCACCCAAAGAACACTAAACCTACGTTACGGTGCTAGATATAATAAACTTATGATGAAACAACCCTCACCAAGACTGGCAAAACACTGCTGCAATTTGAGAGGGCTCGGAGGAGTGGACTAACCGGTCACTGGCATCTGAGAAAACATCTACACAATATGGGCATATACAACGAAGATCCCATCTGCAGATTATGTAATGAGGAGGAGGAAACAGCCATACATATCACCTTCGACTGCGAAGCAACAGCTCAATGGAGATTCAACCTAACATACGAAAAAACTTAGGGAGTGAAATTGTAGCAGCGACAGTCAATGACCTAATACTTCTAAGGAGAAGGATAGAGTCAGTTGCACTGAACTAAGAAACTAGGCAGGTACAATTAATCCCCGCTGCAGTGCCTGGGGAGTACAAACCCTGCTTCCTAGTATCCTTATCACCATACCATACTACTTATGCAGTGATTCACGAATACTTTCGATTTAACAGACTTTAGCCTATTAAATATATCCCTATATAAAATACGAAAGAGTTTTATTAAAACTACGTACAGGGTGAGTAGGAACATAGGAGCATATTTGGTAGAAACCACAAGACACGTAAACTATTTATTTAAAAATCGATTAACGGTCACTAATCACCACACATTTAGACACGTAAACTTTCATTTTTGTCTAGTTTCTCCCGAGCTAAATTTTGATCTAACTCTCCAGTATAGCGGGATACAAGGAATGGGATACGACTAATTTATTATAAATTAAAATGATAAATAAATAAATTGTTTGTAATTGAAGGGGTACGAGAAGATTTCGTTTTTACGAAAAACAATGTCGAAAATAGTTTTTAAAAACCTTTCCACCTGTGAATTCAGCTCAAAAACCGTTTAAAAAAAGTACATCGATGATTACCTTATCATTTAAATTAGTTAGTATCCCATTATCCTGAAGTGCTTACTGATTTATATAGGGTAAAATCTGTACATGTACACATATACACCCGTATACCGACTTGAGCACTTCTTGTGAGAGAAGGTCGATTGTCTTAACTCACAACAAGGTGAAACGTACGATCTACAGACAGAATTACTGTAGACGTAGAGTACTTACTCAGACGGTAACAATTTTATCATTTTAATTCCACTTCCCCTACTGAGCTTAGTAGTTCTATTCTTTTAAATATAGTTTGAATTTAAAAATCAACGTGGAATTATTTTTTCTCCAGCAGAGTGAGAGGACAATTTTTTAAATGCGAGGCCTAAATTTTTTGTTCCCACGACTTACTATTTGTTCCCAAGTGTGGTGTTTAGTAACCGTTTGTTAATGATTATTGGAGATCGTGAAATGCGGTCTGGTGTGACGTAGGTTTTAGAAAAACATTTTCTTTATCGTGCCAACGTTTCGACCTTTATTGAGATCATCTTCAGGTCCTTGTATTGCCTGCTTTTTAACAAAAAACTTCTCTGATTGATAGCATTGACGTTGATTGAAAGAAAATGTTTTTCTAAAACCTACGTCACACTAGGCCACATCTTACGATCTCCAAATAATCATTAACTAACCGTCACTAAACATCACACATTTCTACACGAGAAGAAAGAAGAATATGGGATTCTATGAACTGATTTCAACTACAAATGGACAACAAGCAACGAGTTCTGAAGTATATCGTCATCAATGAAAAGAAACTTGCATCGGCTACCAATCAGAGAATTTTTTGTTGAAATGCAGGGAATACACGGCCCTGAAGATGATCTCAATAAAGATCGAAACGTTGGCACGATAAAGAAAATGTTTTTCTAAAACCTACGTCACACCAGATCGCATCTCACGATTTCCGAATAATCATTTGTTCCCACGATTTAAAATATTGACTTATAACGTAAAAAGGTTGTACCTTGCTGCTTTTTGTGTTTTACTAGTCTAACTCTTCTTCATTTCTTTGTTATCTATTCTTTTTTATCAATTTTATATCAAACATTCATAATTCGTTATTTAGGCTAGGTAAAGAGACATCGCCCCTTTCATATTAGTGCTTTTCTAGCCTCTTTCGTCTTCAAATGCCTGGTGCAGTAAAAGTTTATAATTTTTGGTATTCACAGGATCGCTGTTTCATATGTTTTCTGTGTGCATGTGCGGTTAGTTCTGGTAAAGTTCGTTTTAATCGAAATCAAATTATTTTAAATTTAGGAAAGGACTTAAGAATCATGACAAGGCGATTCTTTTTAGGAAACGGTTGTATTTCTTGTATTCCATTCCTCCAGTAAAATTAAAATAAAAGAAAACAACTAATACATTTTTTTATTATTTAAAATTTTTACACAAAATAGTTAGCATGTTTAAAATTAGTTATATTAATATATTAAAATAAGGAAAATTTTGATAGTAGAGAAAAACTATCGTCGTCTTTAATTTCAAGTTTATTTCTCTGAGATGAACATTTTTTGTTGTTGTCGAAAGTGTGACACCTCTTGACGAGGGTCAGAAAGCACAACGGGTCACGGACCAATGAATACAATGCTCCATTTCTCCAACAAATATACTCCAATAGTGTACAGAGCATTTTTCTGGTTTTAGGCTCGGTTGGGCAGGGGGTCGAAAGAAAAAGAGGCGAATGTATGGCTTGCTCAATGGCTCATATAAAACTGAACGTTTCATCAAGTTAAGAAGCTACAGTTTTCTTTTTTTTAACACTACCTCTACATTTTATACACGCATGGATTAACACTAGTGTTGACTCTTTTTTTTTAATATTCAAAACCTCAATGTATTCTCGCTCAGTTATTGTGTGCCTCAATCTCAATAAAGATCGAAACCTACATCACACAACAGCGCGCTCACGATCTCCAAATAATAATTAATTAACGTCACTAAATACTACACAAATCAATATACCTGTCGGTGAATTAATTTAACGTCGAACGAGATGACGTCGCTGATTGGCTCTCCTTCGTCTGTCACATAATACACGAGGAGATGGCTCACCGGTGCCATAACAGCTTCCACTTTAAACCTGAAAACATCATAATTAGTTAAATAATAAACACAGTTATGAAAGGTATGTAATATATGCATTCCATTTATGTTTTACTGGTCAATTGATACTTCTTTCGATTAATTATTTTTTATGCAAGGTTTTTGAGGTTGAAATTAAAAAGCTAGTGCCACGAGCGGGATTCGAACCCACGACCTTCGGCTAAATACGCCGCTGCTCTACCACTTGAGCTATCGTGAATTCGATCCTCTCGGATACCAACTCTCCATCCACGTGTCCGAGAGGTGTCCGTATTTAGCCGAAGGTCATGGGTTCGAATCCCGCTCGTGACACTGACTTTTTTATCTCAACCAAAGATCTTACATAAAAAAGAATAATTAATTGAAAGTAATAGTTATTGTTTAACGACTTGTCTTTCAATGAGAGAACAGGTTTGCCGGCTGTCTTTTTACGAGGCGGCTGAAACTGTAAAAACTAATTTGAGAAAATTATCGGATGGCGGTTTATTTCCTAGGGGCCAATAAAAAACTCGACACGACGTGTCAAAAGTTCAAAGTGGCGCGGGCGGCGGGGTGAGGACGTATGTTTCATTGCTTTAGTGCGCTTTTGATATCTCGAGGGGGTTTACGAGCCCGATTTCGACGACAGGTGGTGAATCCCCTCTGTAGAGGGTGTAAAACGGAGTGGCTTCGAATTTTATGTGACACGGGTGCGCTTATGAAAGGAGAGGGAGGTCACGTAGATGGGGTTAATTGAACCGGAAGAAAGTCTGAGTTTCCGGTTCGTGCCGGATTTTTGTACGGAGGAAGCCGTGGCCTGTGAGACGGGGAGAACGAGAAGGGTGCCCCTCTCGGCTTTTATTTACATAAAGTATTCCAAACGAGTGACACCCTTACCCGTCAACTTTCAATCCTCTGGAAGAATGAGAGCACCCGGTTTATTGGGTTACTCCTCCGCCAGCCGTATGTTTACACAGTGTAATGAGAGAACCTCCTCCGCCTATCTAATGGAATTACACTCCATCTTCACCCCTTTCATGTAATCTCAAAACACATTAAATTATGCCATGATAATAACTTGTAATTCATGTGTGTAATTAACCGGACAAATTCGCCATCACCAGTAAAATAAATGGTTTATGTACGTTTTTTGCGTAATACTCCCATAATTGTGTAAATATTGTTTTTTGTGTAATTGTTGCTGGGACATTCACAACAATCATTATTTTATATTTGTTTACATCTATGATGACACAGATTGCAGGTGATGAAGCCATACTAAAAAACGACTTTTTCAGGTATAAAAGGATGATGATGAAGAATAGAGACTAGAAAGCGGAGGTTTTTGTTCCCCAAGCCTTCTGGCTTATTGTACTTTTCCTACTTCCTTAGTTCATTTTAATTGACTTAAACCTTCTCTAAATAAGTATTAGGTCCTTGGCTGTTGTTGCTATACTTTCTTTCCCTGGGTTTTCTTTGTATCCCATGTTATTTCTCCTTTGAGCGGTCGTTTTGCATTCGAAGATAATGTGGGCGGCTGCTTTTGCCTCCTCTCTGTATAATATGCAAATGGGGTCATCATTGATATGCCAATGTTGTGTAGATGTTTTCTCAGATGCCAGTATCCGACAACTAGAGAATAGCTCCAATCCGGCCTGTGGGCCGCAAGGCCACACTGTCTCGGCGCCCCTCGAGATGTCTGGTCGGGACGGTGCCGATTCGTTCGCCGCTTGAACGGCCATCTCATATCCTTCATCCACTCAGGGGAGTCATAGTTCATTTAATATGGGACTACGACGACAATGAGTGGTACAGCGGGAGGCGCCTGAAAAGGTGATCCTCGTGTCCTCGTTCACTTCCCTTTCTCAATCCGTGTTCCTTCTCTCTTCCTTGCGACCTCAGCTAACCCTTGGATATAAGGGGGTTTCCAGGCGCAAAATAATGGTGCAGCTTTGATGGCGTGGCAACCTCTCTAAAGTACAAACTGTATTCGTGTCGGCCTCCGGGGGGCAGGTGACGGCGGGTGCTTTATCAGAAGCAGACGAGAGCTATGGTACCAGATCCTATCTACATAGACGGGGGAGGGTGCATAACCTACGGGGTAGCAAAAATGTTCCAAAGTCCAGCCCCTGATACATTGGGAATGGATTCGTAGTGGCTTAGTGGCGAGGCTCCTGTCGAGAACTTAGAGAAGAGGCTGTTCTATCTGTGACCTTCGCCCAAGCACTTACGTATAACCTTCGTTGCAACCCCGGCCTTACGGTATACGAAGGAACACACTATCGAAGCGTATAGCTTGAGGACGCTCAGACTACGCTGACGGAGTCCCTCAAATACGTGAGAAGTAGCGGATAGGAACGGATAGTGGTCGGTGTTCCCTACACGAATGGCGTCCTTTACCGAAGGTAGTCTCCTCTAGAGGTTGATTAGGAATTCCACTTTAAACAAAACCGCGGTCGGAGGGGATCCGGAAGTTCTTACGCTGGAGGAGCCCCAATAGTCTGGGAGATAGAGTGGTCTTTTCTATCTTGGGAGTGCTTAGGAGACCAGGCAGATGTTTTTCGGCCTTGGTAGCCCTTTACGCGCGGCATACGGTATGATGCTTAATGCAGACAACTCGTGCAAGCGGGGAGTGAGGTTCGTCTTGGCCCCTCGGGGCTGGGTCATCTTCTACACAAACGCTGAGGCTGTAATACACATCAGTCGTATGCGGAGGTGCGTCATCTCCCATCTTGAGAATCAAAACGTCCGTTATGACCATGAGCAGGTACAGACGGTAAAGAACCTCATTATCCTTTTTAGGACGACCGAGTATTTGGGAACGCATGTCCGACAACTAGTCTTATCATCTGATAAACTGACAAAAGGAGGGCAGCAAGCTAAAGCTATAGAGAGTAAAACTCAAGGGAGCCCTAGGCGTATATATGTGTCAAAATATCGCATCAAAAATACTGAAAGGGTCCAAAATCTTCAAAACCTGGGGAAACGTGGGGAATGATCTGTTGGGTAGCAGAACACAAAGTTTTTATTTTATTTTGTACACTTCTCCTTGTTCCCTTTTCTGGATCCATTCTGTGATGGAGGATCGTGTATATTTTAATAAAATAAATAAATTAATCAATTAAAATATGTTACCCATCCATATATGTTTAGTTGCCTAATTTACCAAATTACTTATTTCAATTAATTATTCTTTTTATGTAAGGTCTTGGCTGAGATGAAAGCGGGATCCAACTCGTGGCACTAAATTTTTCATCTCAACTAAGATCTTACATAAAAAGAATAATTAATTGAAATACGTTACCTATGATCAACTCATACTAAATTTTGGAAATAGTGTTGGGAGCCCCTACTTTCAAAAAGTCATTAAACTGTTAGTTAAAGTTCAAAGACGTTTGACCAAAATCTCCAAAAACTTAAAGCCATACTGCAACTTCAACCGAGTTAAATTCCGAAATTTAACAACTCTTTTGTGTTTTGCCCTCTCTAGTATCCATGAGTTTGCCAGATTTGGTGAGAGTTCTTTTATCATCGATTAGCTGTGTCCACTTCTCCTTTTGCCTTATTTGGATTCATACTGAGAAGGAAGATTCTGTAATGGGGACCGCGGTAGCCGAGTGGTTAGCATGAGAGACTCTCACGCCGCGGTCGTGGGTTCGATTCCCACTGTCGCCTCTGGCCCTTTTTTCCCGATAACCCCCAATTTGAACAACATATATATAAGAATTCGTCATGGCTAATATGTAAAGATTCTGTAATAAATAAAATGCTAATACTAGTATTCGGCATAAACGTCATAAGTTCGATTCTGAATTGTTGTATGTACATACATTGTTCACCTCGAATGTTATGCAAGTAATTGGATTTTTGAGAGGTATTTTTAATAAATCTTTTTAAAACAGATACAGAAGGCACCGACTGAGTTATCTCGTTATAGTTTTGAAGTTTCAAAATTTGAACTTATTTTAGTAGGAGTTTAACTGAAACGATTTCCCCCTTGTTTTTTAGTTTCATCTTAATTAGAAGTTGTTATTTTCGTCGATATTTTCCTGTCTAACTCATCTGATGGGCGTTGGTTACTAAAGTCATTTTATATTTTGTAAACTTTGTCTCAATTAAGAAAGTTTTCGGGATGAGAGGTTTTAGCCTATTAATGCGAGTTGAGTTTGCCAACAACTTTCCGACAACTTCTGGACCACGTGGAATTTTTTCCCCGCAAAGTACGAGTCTTTTCTGCCTCATTTGGCTTTATCTCGATACATTTTATTTGCTATAATATGAAAATCGTCCATTTTTATTTCATTTTATAACAAGTAACTTGAGTTAAAGTCAATAAAAAAAAAATATCAATGTTAAATCATTATACACAATACATTTTTTATACTTATCATGAAATGAAAGTAATGAAGACAAAAAAAGTTTGAACTAAAAACTTAAATCTGCATTTTTTTAAAGATATTTTTTGTAATAAAACTATGGCTAAATTTTTTTCTTTGACGTTGTCTGTAATACATTTAAAAAATCAAATTAAAAAATATTAACTTTATAAATAACTAAGTATTAATGAAACTAGTACGTGTTGAAGAGAAATAAAAGTTATTTACTCATGACCGATTGAACTTAACATGTATGACTTACGATAAGTTGAATCGACACAGTGAACTCGGGTTCAAGTTGGCGTCTTGTGGGATGTTCACAGCAGGGACATGCCCTTCGTCCCAGTAAGTCAGATGCCCTTCGGTACTCACAATGTAATGAAGAGGTCTGTCACAGGGGCAAGATGATAAAATCACTGTCTTGGCATCGTCTCCTGGCTGTAAGAACAAAAAAAAGCAATATTTTTACTTTGTACAAAAACAATTGTTGAACATAATGATTATAAACATAAATTTAATTCTTTCATTATATATAATTCCACTATATTTCGTCCGATTGATCAACTTCTTCCAATTAATCTTTATATAAGGTATTGGTAAAACGAAGTATATCCCCTAAAGCTCTCCGTGGCCATTTCATTTGTCACCGCGAATCAAATCCTGATTACACGACATTTGAAAATGGCAAAAAGGAGGGAAAATTCGAAAGGTAGGTTGAGTGGGAAGTTGGTGTCCGAGTGGATCGAAGTCACGATAGCTCAAGTGGTAGAGCAGCGGCGTATTTAGCCGAAGGTCGTGGGTTCGAATCTTGCTCATGACACTGACTTTTTTATCTCAACCAAGACCTTACATAAAAAAACTCTTTAATAATGTTGAATAATTGCATTTTGTGATTTCCTCATTTCATATTGTAGAGGGGGATTAAATCCATTATTTTCTCCACACCAGCTGTGAGACAAGTTCTTATCGCTCCCTTTATGCAAACGCATGCGATTCTGTATTTTTGTGAATTCCGTTTTGTTATTTTCTTTACTTTATTGGTATAGAACGAATAATTGAACTTATTTTAAATTTTAATTGTAATTAATTTTCATATTTATTCATATTTTAGGTTTTTATAGATATTTTAAGGACATGATGAAAAAGCACTATTTTTATATTAAAACGGTTTTATTTGAAGTAAAAAATGGCTAATTATCAAATCAAATTTCTTATTTAAAAATAATGAATTTGATGGAAGAAAAGGGCAATTTCAGATTAAAACGTCCTATTTTGGCGAGAAAAGGGGTTTGTTTGACCGAAAAAGCTATATTATGTCTGGTTGCTTCAGCCATAGGTAACTGTCCAATATTTTATAAATTTAAATGACGAAAAACCTCGTAACGTATTTAGCCGAAGGTCCTGGATTCGAATCCCGCTCGTGATACTAACTTTTTCATTTCAACCAATACTTTATATAAAGATTAATTACTTGAAAAAAGTTATATATAAGATTTGTCATTATTTGGAAATCGTGAGATGCGGTCTGGTGTGACGTTGGTTTTAGAAAAACCTTTTCTTTATCATGCCAACGTTTCGATCTTTATTGAGATCATCTTCAGAGCTAAAAGTGTGTGTTTTCATTTAACTAACAGTCACTAAACCCCACACATAAAATTTATCGTTTTTCAATTTGATGTTTGTGAATTAATTAATTGATTATTAAAAAAAAAAATCCTACAATTTTCTAAAATTTTAAGAAAAAATTGTTAAAACTGTGCTACTGATGCAATAAAGCAGTTCAGAACGTTTTTTGTATATCTCAGATGAACAAATTATCACCAAATCGGCGCTAGATGTTTACTCCTCTTTCTTTTGTAGAGATAAATTGTTTTTTGGATGTAAAAGGCCAAAGTTTTATCGTTGTAAACACAGTTGCTAACAAAAGCCCGTTTGGGATAGGAAAGTCGGAAAGGCCGTTCAACAGGAACTTACGAGGTTTATTTCTTCCTAGCCCTTTCCCAAAAGGTTTGCCATTTGGAAAGTGGTTCGTGAGTGAATAAAGTTTATACGTATCATTAAAAGCTTGTATCTTAGTTCAACTGTCTAGCGATTTGTTTGTTTTATGGAAAAAGTAAAGCTTATTTCTTAAATGACTAATAACAAGTGTTTAAAAATCTGAACTCTTTGATGGTTAAAGCTCGAGAATTTTTTTTGGCTGTAGTTTTCTTCTTATTTTCAGGGTGCCTTTCGTCTTATAAACCGGGAGGCTTATTCCTGAAAAATTCTCCCTTTCATCTTAAAGCCCTCTGTGTATTATCTTAATAAGGGAGGCTCTTATTTCACTTTCTTTTTTTTAAGAGAGAGACGAGGGGTCATTTAAAAGGCAAATCCTCTTCTTTCTGATCAAAATTTACATGGCAAATACCAATATTTCGAATTATTTTGCCGTTTAAAAGGGAATTGGTTTTTTTTCTTTGTCTCTTCTTTAAATAAAACAGAAATGCAAGTTTATATATATAATGTGCGACTGTAGTGGCCGCGTATCCGATATCCGAAGCAGCGTCAGTCAACGATATGAACTAAGAACATTATCAGGGAGTGCATATTAAAATATATTAAGAGTATTATTAAGTATATTAAATGGTGGACAAGTATTTTCATCATCAGGTTGAAGGAGATACAAACACGTCTCTTGATAAAACTTATAAGAGTAGAGAAAAAATAGATTTTACTATTTCTATTTCCTTTTTCTAGACATTGTTTTGTTATTATAGCCGTATCATGTAAAGATATGACATTTTTTATGCTACTGGGTATAGACGTTTTAAGGCTGGTTGAAGGATTTGTATATATATACTGACAGGCAAAAAATTCCACCCACTTGAAATATAACTTGATTTGTATATATTTTTATATATTAATGAAAGTTTCACGTTTTTTAACGCTTTAACGTTTAATAACTGAGGCTTTGTCTAAAAAAGTTTAAAAATATAAATTACTAAGGAAAATGAAAAATTAAAAAAAAAAGTCGGACAGATAAAATTTGTTTTAGGTTTTTAATTAACATTTAAATATTGCGTTTTTCCTTCTCTTGCCTTAATGACATCGAAGACACGCAGGCATACTTTCTACCAGTCTGGAAATGTCTCTTTGCTGGAGGTTATCTCATTCTTCAGGAAGAGTCCTTTCAAGATCGTGGAGTGGATCAGGATGGACGTGCTCTTTTCGACTTTTGTGGTTATTCGATAAATGTTCGAGGGGTTCAAGTCTGGAGAAGGGGCTGGCCAGGCTAAGACCCTGATGTTATGCTGTTGAAGGTACGTTTGTCCTATGCGAGCGACATGTGGACGGGCATTATCATCCATTAGAATAGGATTGTCGTTGATTTCATCGAATATAGGCTGTGCATGATGTTCAAAAATTTCATCCACATAGCGAGTGTCCGTCAAAGACCCACCACGAAGAACAACCAACTCTGCGCGACTCTCCATTGTAATTCCCGCCCACACCATCACTGAGCTACGTTGAAAAGGTCGGCTCTGGGAAAAAGTAAAGGCTTCATACCTTTCATTTCGCCTTCTCCGCCCTCTTTCACGACCATCTGGAGATCGTAGAGCAAATTTGCACTCACCTGTAAAAAGTACAGCAGACCAATCGTCCAAAGACCAATGGCTGTGTTCTCGAGAAAATGCGAGTCGTGAAATCCGTGTTCTGGTCAATTCTCGTCCGCTTACGTGGCGAAAAGCCATCAGTCCATACTGATTTAATCTTCTTCGAGCAGTGCGTTCAGAAATTTGAACACCTCGAACTTCCTGAAGCTCATGAATTGCTTGAACAACAGTACGGTGCCGGTTTCGCAAAATTTTCAATGCCAAAAAACGGTCATCCTGAGGTTCTGTCACCTTAGAGCGTCCCAGAACTGGGACTTCAATAGGACCCAGTTTCTCGAAAATGACGTAACAGCGTCTCGCTGTGTATCGTAGGGATCTCCGATGGCAATAGCCGCATACCTGATGGAACGTCCATCATCAAAAAGTGCCACACCACGCGCTACATCCTCAGCATTAAGTGGCATTTTTAAGTTTAAAGTTTGAAATTAGTAAAACAAAGATGAAAACTAAATAGTTTATTGCTTCAGAATTCAAATTAATATTCAAATGAAACTGAATAAACATTTTAAATTCCGTAAAAATTAAACATTGAAAAATCATTTATCCTTGTTTTGGATTAAGGATTAAATGTGGCTTATCTCTAATTGATATTCCCAATTTAAATAGAAATAGGTAGAATTTTTTTGCTTGTCATATATATATATATATATATATATATATATATANATCGGACCATGGACAATATGAACTTTTTTGTTCATTTTAGGGTGAAGAATCTACTGGAGAAGTTTGTAGCACGAGTAGCAATTATATATGTATATATATATAAATATATATAAATGAATGTTCGTATGTGTGAGGTTTCAGGAATTTGTGGCGTCCATTTTCACATCTGTTTTCCCAGCTGTTAGCTGTCCAGTCGGGCCTTCAAGTTGCAAAACTGCTGATACAATACAGATGCAAAAACCCCAGAATTGGTTTGCTGATGTAAAGATAGGAAGAAAGGAACTTCACCCTTGTATCTTTATTATAGGCAGCAGTGGTGTAGGTAGTAAAACGAACTACTGGCATGTGGCGTGACCGTCGACTGTTCCACTCGGCCAAACCATCTGAATTGAGAAAAGTGCTCCAAGTGAACGTTTATTTAGTGGACTATAAAGTCTAGAAAAACCGATTTTGTTTATACATGTAAAACAGGGGTGCTCAAACGGTCGATCGCGAGTGCTTTTTGAGTAGATCTGGAGAAGAAAAAAATTTTTAATAAGTAGGTAGGTAACTAAACTACAAAAATGTATTACGTAATAAAATAACACTGCTTGCGGCAAAAGGTGGCTTTATCAAAGGAACGCGCGGCACTTGTCAAAGAAAAGCCGCGTTGTTTCTAGACTAGTAGACAGTACAGTCTAGTCTAGAAACAACGAGAGACAGTACAGTCTAGTTTCGGGCGGCGCGTTTGACGGGAACATTCGAGACTTTCGTTCACGCCGATATAAATGTTGTGCCTGCAGGAATTGGAGTCATTCTGAATTGTAACTTGATGGCGATACTACGTCGATACAAAGTTTATTATTAAATAGTGGAAAATGAGTGCAGTGAAATCTAAAACGTATC